GATACTTTCATTATCTGATTACTTTTCTTCTAAAATCTCTTTGTTTTCATATTCTCTATTTCACACTCCGAATTTTTTTCCTTACTTTAATTAAAAGCAATTACTATTACACCCTAACGGTCCTGCTGTGGCACTTCCGGTGTTCCGGACACAAGTGTGTGACACACGATTATTTAGCGATTATCTACTATCATTTGTATGTGGGTGGGTACAAATGTGAAAATTTACAGATTCATTGTCAAATAGCGAGAGTGTGCGATTGGGCTGCTCCACAGCGGCGGCAGCAGAAAACGATTTTTTGTTGTCGCACCGCAGGACATATATACAATACATACATGCATACAAGTAGATAGCAATCGATATAAGGCCACTAAAGTTTATACACTGCCAACGACACGACAAACAAAGGAAGAAACAGTGGCAGCAGCTTTCTGACAGTGGCAGCGGTGCAAATAAAATGTAGGACACAAAATCGCTATCAAATTTCCAATTATACGAACACCGCGTCGCTACAACAATACGGTGCAAAATACTGTTTTCGCTTTTAATCTGCGCCAAGACATTAATTGATTGCGGTTTTAAAATGTGATTGGGACGCGCGAAAAGGCAGACAGGCGGACAATAATGGAGAGCATTAATTTTAGGGATATACAATATTAGTAGCATTGGTGGGTGGTTATCGAAAGTCGCTTTTTGTTTTTGCTTTTTACTTCTTTCTATCTTGTAAACGGTGCACCGATTCAAGGGAAAATATTTTTAATATTTAATCTACTAAAGTCATTCATGTGGAAGCGACCGTGGGGTTGTCAAGGCCTAGGTGACGACGTGAATGAGACAAAATAAGGTTTTCATTGCTTTTACAATATAATACTTATATTAATACTAAATTCAATTTCTGGTTAAAATATGAAACACAATTTTTTTTTGTGTATATTAAAATTGCTCCTTTAGTATATTATTTATATAATTAGTATTATTATTAGGATTCAGTTATTTTATTTCCACATTCATTTTTAATAATTTAACGAACTTTAGTCAGCTGTTTATTTAAACACAAATTTGTTAAATGACAGCATAACAGCTAGACAATCAAAAGTGTGAAGCTAACAACTAATCGGATCATGAAACCGAATACTTGCCGAAATGTTTAGCAACTTTTCTGCAATATATACCGTTCTTTGCTCTTTTTTTGTGGGTGAGAGTAAATAGTGTACATATGTTCATATATTCTCAAGAGTTAAGCTGTAAGCTTGTTATCTTATTAACTTATGTATATTATAGATAATAGATTCACTAAGTCTTATCACTACATTTTGCTTTGTATTCAAAATATTTATATCTTAATCAACCCAGTCAACTCAAATGAGATATGTGTGTAATATACTACCAATATACATAGTATATATATACCACATAGGTATATAGAAAAAACCAACCAAAAATGATTATGTTACCGATATATAGTTCAAGGTTTTGGCCTATTTCTTGAATATTCAGCGTTAACCACATCATTCTTAAGAAAACATCTCCACTTATTATACTCTGAACAGCGTATTCAACTTTACTGTTGACCTGTTTAGTCGAAGAGACCGGAACCCATATCGTCATCTTCTTCTGACTCCGACTCCTTCTTTTTGGCTTCTTCCTTCTTTTCGGTAGCAACGCCAGCACCTGCATCATCAGCAGCAACAAACTTATTATGCCCTGAACAGGGTATATTATTTTGCTATGTAGTTTGTAACATCCAGAAAGAAATGTCGGAGACCCTATAAAATATATATATAAGAGATAATGAGTTGATTTAGCCATATTCGTCTGGCCGTCCGTCTGTACATACGCTAACTAGTACTTCAGCTGAGACATTGCTCTAAAATATGCACACATCCTTTTGTCCATAAGAAGCTGCTTATTCGTCGGTATCGCCGATATCGGAAAATTGTAGGAGAACATCTAGCTGCCATACAAAGTAAACGATCGAAATCAAGTTCTTGTATAGAAAACTTATTTATCTGACAAGATATATTCACAAAATTTGGCACGGGTTATTATCCAAAATATTACTACAATATCTGAATAAATTTTTCAAATCGGACAACTATAGCATATAGCTGTCATACAAACTGAACGATCATAATCAAGTACTTGGATGGAGGCATTTTTTGTTTGTGAAGGATATTTTTGCTTGGGTGCAACCGAAGTTAACGTTTCTCTTGTTTCTTTTATCATATATTTGGACGAATATAAATCGTTTTCAGTCAGCAGGTAAATCGAATATCAAGTATTTTGAAGCTAGAGAAAGGACTAAAGTGATTGCATTAACTTGTAGTATTAATAAAGTTTACACGAGAAAATGTCATTGAATGAGGAGATACTATAAGGACTGCTCAACAAATTTGGTAGATATAGCTCTATAGTAGTTTGTAAGGTATATGCATTAATCTTATTAAAAGGCGGGACCACGCTCACTTTTTAACAAGTTTTAAGCCAGGTATGCCCCACTATTCTTTGATGCCCTGTCCTTATCCCCGTTTCGTATTTTAATTTGTGGTTTAGTTATATACCTTTATAAATTTCTGGGCGGGGCATTGGCCCATCTGCCTAATGTCTAAAGTCTCACTTAACTCAATCAGCTGAGAATATTGCTCCAATTTGTTTTATACCCCAAATATAACCCCATTAATTATTTAAAAATAATATAATTTGAACAACCCAGATATATGTTACAAAACATTTTGGTAATTTTTGAGTCAAGTCTTCAAAAGAAGTTTTTTAAAACTGCATAAAATTATATATGGAAATTATAAAATAATATTTGAAATTTTTATTGAATGCAAGTTTTACATACGAGGTCTGTTCAAAAAGTATCGCGAATTTTGTATTTCTTAAGAAAGTGTTTATTTATAAATGAATATCTATTTTGTCTCCTTCAAAGTAATCCCACTAGATATAATATGCCAGCGTTTTTTCTCATACTCAAAGCACTTAAAAAAGTAATTTTTGTGATCTTGTTCAGCTTCTTAACTTTCTTAAGAAATACAAACTCTCGATATTTTTTGAACAGACCTCGTAAATTAAGTTGTAGTTTTTAAAATTTTAAAACGATTTAAAGCCTTTTGCAATTAATGTGCCTTTCATGTTAATAAATTTACTACGCAGAAATCCCTCCGAAAAGTCTAATTAATTCCCTCTTAATTTTATTCAAATCATAATTCGCACTTCGCCACTTCAATGAAATAATTTCCATTTGAACTTCACCAGCATTCGCCGACATTTACTCGTCCAACACAAGCACTACACGCTACATACATACATACATACACTATGCCACTTAATCCACCGCCATTAATTACTTATACGCCGCGCACGACAAGTTTAAATATGCATAAAGAACATTTCGCATAATTAAAAGCTGACAGAACAAGAAAAAGCATTACTAAATAAATGAGGTTTAGTTGCCACATGAAGTACTGTGATTGAATGCAAAGAATAAGTAAGAGCATGAAAGCGCAGAGGAAAGGGAAAGCCTTTGCCACACAATTACAAGTGTTTGTCGGTTGTTTTTTCATAAGTTGGCATGTTTTTGATTTAAAAAGTAAATGTGCTTATTGTTGTAGTAACATGTAAATAAAAATATATATATTGCTTGTTAAATAAAAAATAATTATTTTTATTCACACTACTTATAAATCGGCGTGTTTTCACTACTTAAACCACATGTACGCAATATTTGACACATTTTTTAAAACAATGCAAATGCAATGTTATTTATTGTTGACAGATTTCTTGTTTGTATTTTATAACTATACAAATTTAATTTTTGTTTTGTATTCAAACAAAAATATTTATATATTTTTTGGCTTTATTTAAAAAATTTTGCGAATTTTCCCGCTATTTCTTTCGTTAGTATACCAATTAATATATTTTAAGCAAGCAATGTGTATTTTATATTTCATTTTCATATTATTAAAAATACAAAAAGCAAGTCTTAAAGCTAATAAAAACGTTTTAAAATTGATATATGAGTTAATCAAAGCACATCATCAGGCTCTACAATTTAAACACATACACACGATCATGTGTTTTTGTTGTCATTTTATTGTGAGCTTATAAGTATGCGGGAAGTGAATAAAATTAATTTTGACAATTTACATGCCAACGAGTCGAAATACATACACTGCGATATTATAAAACGAATCAGCTTTTAACAAGAAAGTATAGCATTGATAACAAATACACCGTTATTTACATTAAATTTTTGATAGCAAATGTACTCATATTGTAATTTGTTATTATTTGTCTATAAATAAAATAAAGTATATTTACTCGTATATATATACATATACATATCATAAAATTTTAAAAATAATTACTACAATACTTATTATATTAATAACTTCTTCGATAGATCAATTTTAGTTTAAATATTTGTTATCGTATATTGCTTAATTTTGAAAAGGTCAAAGTAGTATTTAGTAATTTTGTAATAGTGATTTGAATACTCTGTAGTTTAGCTAATATATGTGTTTATCATTTATTTCTTCTTAAAAATACTCTGCTTATAGATTCTTCTTATTGTTTTCTCCATATTTTTAAAACTTGTTTCTAAACTCAAAACACACCAATAATCATAAACTTGTAAATTCATAGCTGAAATTTCATATAGCAGGCAGCCTTTATATTACTCGTATATTTAAATAATCATACTTAAGAGGGTGTCTACACTATATGGACTATACATTTTTAAATAAAATGTTTTTTTCGTTAAACATTTTACTTTAAGTGTTATCATGATTTATTTACCAAAATATAAAAACTAAAATAAATGCTAATTACACACATTACTTTTCTCTTTTATATTCACCACACTCCGTGCCCTTACTTGACGCCATCTTTTCGCCATTGTTGTTTGTGGCTTTCAACAACTACTCCGAAACTCTTGACACTTGGGTGCATTTTCAACATAACCTCAATTTACGACGCTATGCAATGGCTTACAATAGGGTGCCGCTAAGCTGACAAAAGAGGACATCGAAAAAGTTTTCTCACTGTACGATCGGGTAAGTTGCAATCCTAAAAACTTTGACGACAAAGTTGTGTGAGAAAAATGGTGTAGAAATAGTTTTCGCTACCGTTTTTGTAGCAACAATCCAACTTGCTTGTCGTTTTTCCTTCTATAATATTTCGCCCCTATATAAAGGGATAAAATGGATAAAATCTCTACAAAACTTGCCTTAGCCACCACATAATTGGAGTTCAGGATTTTGAAACATCCAGCTGACTTAACTTCAATATATTATATTTATATATTTATAAAATTGCTTGAAAAGAGGTATACCTGAGCAATGTCAAAAATGAATGCAATCAAGCCCAGACCTTTTCTGCGCCCAATATATCTTATATAATGATTTCTGACTTTCCACCTGGCTTTAAACCGTTTTGGTTGTTCAAAATGTGTGATATTTTAATAAAATTAAGTGGACACGTTTTCTAAAAAGTTATAAAATTATATTAATGGTTTGACGCTCGATATAAATGAAAATAGTCTTGGTCTAAACCTCATATCCCTAATATAATGAATATCGATTCTCTTGTTGATGTTTAGCACATTAACTCAATATAATCAAGTCAGCTTCTTCGGTCGTGTTTATATAACATATATCTCATTTGAGGATGATTTAAGTATAATTTACGCTGAAGGGAAGTAAAATATAGTAATAAAATAATAAGTGAGTCTGTAACCTTCAAAATAAGTTAATATGATACCAAATTTTATTGTAATCCATTCACGATTTCGTTGAACAATGAAATTGAACCCTTTAGTTACATGTTGTAATATAAAGTTTAGGGAACACATGAAGGTATTTAGCCGGCTTTGATCTTTGCAAGTTCCAAACGTATAAAATATTCTGTTACACCCGAACTTAGACCTTCCTTACTTGGGTTTTGTTATTGATTTTATATTGCGTATCCATTTTGAATAGCTTTTCTTCAATTCCTTTCAAATCAAATGTATCTTTTACATTCAGATTTTTGTACAGTATTTGAATGAAAATTATTACTTTCCAGTATGTAAAATAATGCAACGCTCATTTTGCATACATGTTAGACAACCTATAAAATGTTTATAAAAATGTTCAACATGGCGAGCTGAGTAGATTTAGACATGTCCGTCTTTCTGTCCATCTGTCAGTCTATGTGTCTATACGCGAACTAGTGCCTCAGTTTTTAAGATATCGATCTAAAATTTTGCACACGACCTTTTCTCTCTAAGACGCTGCTCATTTGTTGGAACCGTCAATATCGGACCACTATAGCGTATAGCTGTTATACAAATTGAAGAATCAAAATCAAGCTCTTTTATGAAATACGTTTTTATTTTTTAAGATATCCTCACGAAATTTGGCACGAATAATTGCTCAAGGAAACGGTATAATCTCCGAAAATCGAGTTCTTGATGGAATCTTTTGTATTCGTGAAGGCTACATATTATAGTTTTGGTGCAACCGAAGTTAACGTTTTTCCCTGTGTTTTTATTCAATCTAAGAGTCACATAAGCATATGCAAATGAAATAATATTATTTCTCTGCTCCTTCAATTGTAATTAATTTATAATATTTTCCTCTGAGTTATATTAAAGAAATATTAACAGTTGTATTCAAATTCTAATGTTACCTTAACCTTAAACCAACTCTGCAATGTATAAACCAATTTTGGTTTATCACAGCCTTTATATTTCCGCTTCAAAACGGCGAAAATGCTCCCAAGATTTAGCGCTCATTAAAAGTTTGATCCAGGCTATCAGTATACAAACTAGCTCATAAGCGAATAATCGAACTTAGGGTCCTGTAAGTAAAAAGGCTTGGGTCACTTTCCACTCAGTCTTTACGTTTTTAGGCAATGTCAGAAATGAAATCGAATGGAAAGCTCAGCCAAAATAGAAACTCATGTAACTGAAAGCAATAAATCGATTAATGCGGTATCAGCGATAAAATATCTCGAATATTAAAATCTAAAAATTTCTCCATCTTGATGTGTCAATAGGGATGAAACTAGCTGTCATTCCAATGCAAATATCCAAGTGCCACATTTAAAAAAACCACCTAGTTACCACATTTGAATTTTAAATGAAAATGCTTTTATGTGCAGCATAAATTATTGATGAAGACAAGCTGCCTTATGCTATCCTCTGTCTACATCACAACTTCTTTAATAAATAACTTTCATTGGCTTTTTGACACCTCCTACATAAAAAAGCAATCACAACACATTAATGAAATTTCGCACTTCAATGACACTTATTTCAACAAGAATCTTTTGTGCTGTAAAGAAAAAATAAATAAATAATCAAGTCAGTAAATAAAATTGAAAAACCACATGTTCTTAATGGTCACATCGGCTGGTCATAAATTTTGTAAAGAGTAAATTTTTCGAATGGAAAATGGACTGCTCAAAAGTTTGTATAATTTTCAGCTGTCAGTATGACTAAAATATGTACTTTACTTATGACGCTGCACAGAATTTTACAAAAAATTGTATAATATGCTGCTGCGAAACGACAGCCGCCTTGGACAGATTATTCCACAGAGTAGAGGAGAGTAACGCTTGGCGAATCGAAGGCAACTTATCTAAAATTACCTATAATAACCATGCAGTCCTGGTAACATTATAAAACGCTTAGAAAATGTGAATAATACTCACTATCGAAAAAGTAATCTGCAGCGCAAAAAATACAGAGCACGTTTTTTATAAACCTTTTAAAGTAACCTTTTTAAAATAATATATAATATATATATTAGAATCATTACTATCACCTCATTTTCCGTTAGTACAATCTTCAAAAGACAGCTGTTAAAATTTTATGACATTCTATTCATTGGTTTGCGAGTTATTGTGCTAAGAGTGACGATACATTTGTTATTTTAAAAACAATGGATGATAAAAAATTTCGTGTTTTAATTTTACACTGCTTCTTGATCCGCACCATCAGAAACCACAATATAACATTGGTTTGCTGACTTCAAACGTGGTCGTAGAGACACCAATGATGCAAAACAACGTGCGTCAAATGAGGGTGTAACACCAGAAACCATAAAAAAAAATCACAAAATCGTTCTGAATGCTCGGAAAGTGAAGTGGTGTGATATAGCTGACATCGTGAGGATTTCAAAAGAACGAGTTTTTTTTATTACATAAGCATTTGTCCATGAGAAAGCTCTGTTCATGTTTAAACGTAACAGGAATTTTTGCGTCGATATGTGACAATGGATGAAACCTGGATCCATCACTTCACTCCGGAATCAAAACGATCGTCAGCACTCCGGAATCAAAACGTGGACAGCAGCCTCGTCCAAAGCGCCTGAAGCTGGAAAGTTGATGGCTTTGGCATATTGAAATATGAAAGGTGTAATATTCATCGAATCTCTTGAGAAAGGAAAAACCATTAATAGTGGTTATTACAAGTATAAAGCGTTATTAGAACGAACGTAGAAGTCCGAAAGTGTAAAAAGTGACCGCATATGGCAAAAAACAAAAACAAAAGCCGGGACTTTATACCTCATGTGTGTGAGTTACCAAAGCAAATTAACTGAATGTGTAATATTTGATGTACTGAGTAAACCCAACTTCCATACACTACTTATAATGATTTTCTTTATTCTAACAAATTTATAAAATTGCTTGAAAATACATTCCCAAGTATGCCTGATCAATGTCAAAACTTAATTCAATCAGCTACTACACAGACCAGAATGAAATTGACCTAGACCTTGGGCCAAACCTCATATTCCCAATATCTGATCTTTTGGTTGGCGTTTTCCACGTCAACTACATATATAAAATTTAGCCCATATATGCATGTACATATAAGCGAATCCACGGCATTTAAAGCAAGATAGCAAATTTGTTTGTAATCCATTCACGATTTCGTCGAACAATAAAATTTGAATTCTTTTGCAACATTTTTTAACATAAAATTTGCCAACACCTGAAGCCTCCTCGGCTTTGAGCCTTGAAATTTGCGAGAGTACAAAATGTTCGTTTACACCCGAACTTAGCTCTTCCTTATACAAGTATCATTCAAATTAAAATACTCCCTAGTCGATCCCTATTATTTATTAAGCCAACTGTTTTACAAAAGTACAAATTAGTAAGCTGTTTTTTGTAGCATGGCATTTATAAGCAAAGTTTTAAATAGAAAATAATGCCTTATACTTTTCACACATCCACAAATCACAGTCAATGCTTACTGCGACAAAAGCAATTTAATCTCCTACTTTGCATTTTCAATTTCAAATTGAAAGCCACATAGTTCACGCCGTTCACTCCAGGTTAGCTGGGAATATATACGATCACAAAGGAAACACTTCGGAATTTCGATTTTATTTACGCTTGTAGCTGAGCACATTTTAAAGTCAACAAACATGCATACAAACAAAATTGCACAACCACACACTCACAAGTACAAATGAAGTGCAAAAAAGAAGAATATTCGCAATTTGTGGACCAGCAACACAGAAGTCGTATGCTCAAACTTAGACAACACTCAGCGGAAATGCTGCGAAGCGTACATATTACATACATATGTATGTATGTAAAAATACTATGCTTTATTGTGTGATTCGGTTGCTGCTGATGCTGTATTGTATTGCAACATTTTGCGTTGGGTGGAGTGCGGTCAATTGTTTTGCCATTCAAACAATCTGATTGGCGCGCTGAGCAACAGAGTCACTGCCGCAGCCGCTGCAGGATTTGGTTAGCGTTGGATGATTTGCTGCAATGGCAACAGCTAAATAACTCTGCGCAAACACAGTTTCCACTTTATATTGGATTAACTAGTTGCTTTTTCCATAAAGTCATTGCAGCCACAACCCAGGCAAGCGCACAACCTTGCACAATGTACACACTATGTATGGCTGTATATGTATGTATGTATATAGGTAAGTGAAATCATCGAGTTAGATATGGTGTTTGCAATCCACATATTTGGGACTAAAGTTGGTGCATTAGAATCTCTTGGTGTCTGAATATTTGGCTCTTTCTATACACATCAAGATTTATAAAGGCGTCTCTCAAACTTGGCTTATAAATTATACGAATTACGAATATAATTTTAATGACAGATTTGCAAAATATTGTTGGTTTTTTATTCATATCTATATAAAAAATTCTCAACAGACATATTTAACGGAACGAAAATTGTTTCGAGCAACCCTGTTGTAAAAAAATAGAATGTAAGACTTGTGTTGCTACCCACTGGTCGCATCACATTTCATTATATTCTTATCTCTGAGCGGGATTGAGCAAGCACTATTAAATTTCCATTTATTTGCTGTCGACATGTTGGAATGGATTTGAGGGGTTGCCATATCAATGTTTATTTTGCACAAAAGCATATACCGATACATACGAGTATTCATACATATATATATGAGCTTTCTTTAAAGCCACTTTATCTTTTTCTACACTTGTAGGATAATAGCGGCTCAATAGAAAACGAGGAGCTAAAGGGATTCCTCAAAGATCTACTGGAGTTGGTAAAGAAGGTGTGTATGTAGTGTATATTTCGTGAAAATAATGTGAAATGTAGCAAACTAGCGCCTAAGTTCGCTGTCAGAAACAATTGCTACTTTAATGATAAGTTAACTTGGTTTTATTTCACTTTTCGTTCTCACACAGGACGACTACGATGCTCAGGATTTAAAAGCTTTCGAGGAGACTATTTTGCGTGGCGTGGGCTACGATAAAGATGGCAAAATCTCACGCAAGGAACTGACAATGATATTGCTGACTTTGGCTAAAATGCCACCAGAGGATGAACAATAAGTTGTTCGCTTTTAAGCAATACAACAACAAGTATAAAGTTTAGTATTTATAAAGATAACAAAATTATACAAAATTAAAACATATTAAACTTTTATTATTAAAGTAAATTAGTCTTATGAAAATAAGCAGCATGTGCAAATTACTAGAGGCAAGCTGATATATGTAGTAGCATTGAAATAACGGCAAATAAAAGTCAATAAACAGAATTATGTGTATACACACATAACCACACTTTTTTGATAGCTTAAACGATGTGTTACACGTTAAGCAAATAGAAGCGTTCAAAATTAAAAAAAAAATAATAAAAATATAAAAAAATAAATTTCTATAAGAGTACAATGAAGCGTAAAATATTGCGATTTTTAATAAAGCATATTATTGAAATATAAGAAAAAGTTGCAAAATAAATTATAAAATGCATTTTGGATATGTAATTGAAAATTAATTGCACGACGAGACGCAGAAATAATGCGCGATAAATTTCAAGCGACAACACAAAAACAACAATAATACATTCATCGAGGGAAATTAATTACTTTAAATGCTGCCAATGTAAAGCAGTCAATGAAATATAGAATATCAAAATCAAAGCCGAAGAAGCATAGGAAATATTATTTAAAGGATTTATAAAGCGGGTGTTTCATTCAAAGGTATTGAGTTTTTAGCTATAATTATTAAGTGTCAAATTTGGAGACTAAGATAACAGAAACCATAAAATAAACATTAATGACATTTTTAATGCATATAATAACAACATTTTATCCTCTATAATTGTTCTGAAGCGTATTGCACTTCAATGGCAATATTCAACTACAAATTATAAATTTTCTAGTTACAATTAACCTCAAAATATTTTTTAAATATAATTTGTAGCAAAAAATATGGCAGTAAACATACCGTTAGCCTAGTTTTTATATATTAGTTGTTAAATTTATTATTTTGCTGCAAGCAATGCCAATGTACTTTACTTTATTGAAGCTGACAATTCTTAAAAACATGAAAATAAGTTGAAAATCACAAACAATTTATGCATGTGTATTAACAACTTCAGCCAATTAAAGATATGCTTAATTATATACAACAAACCTCAAAATTAGAAAGAATAAATGAAAATAAAATAAACCAGCCAATAAATGTGCATGTCCTAGCGAAAAAATATAACATCGATTTTATTGTTAAAATAGTAAATGTAAAAAATAACAAAAACTTATATAGTATTTGCAAACAATTTATATGTATGTTTTTTAATGTGTATTAGTTTATATTATACATATTTTTATTAAGTCATACAAATAAAATATATTATATGGCATATGAGTAACGAATTTTTCGATATATATGTTAGTTTGTTAAATAAAACTACCAATAAAAAAGTATAATACTTAAAGGACAAACGATTTTTAAAAATTTTTTGTGTGTGTTTGCAATTTCCGGCTATTAAAGTCTAGAACGTAACACACTGTGAAAAAATTTACTAAAAATAACAAAGCAAACTGTTTTTTGTTAAGAAAAAAAAATATATATATGTGAATGTTAAACTTATAAATGTGTTGTCATATTGTGTACCTGTCATAAAGAAGTAAAGCTTACATATATACATACATATTTGCAGTACTTATCACTTGTTCTCAAAAGGTTTTCAATTACTTAATTCAACACTTTTTTGACTTTGACACACAATGTCTGAAACTCGACAGCTGACTCATGATCTAAAATATTAAGGAAAAAATTCGATCTTCCCTTAGCTGTACCGATAACTTACAAAAACTGTTAACTCCAAGGCACAACCACTTATCAACAAAATATAGCAAGGGATATTTTTCCCAGCTTCCAACCATGTTAAGTACATATATACTTGTAATTGGGCAAAATAAATATAAGAAATACAATTGTCACAAAAAATAACAAATACGATTCGCTTAGTAATTGAAACTTGGGTTTAGGTATTTCAAACAATCAAGCAATTTTATCAAATTCTAGGCTAGACATAAACATAGGGTTAGGTGTAGTCAGAGACATGACCAAATTAGTATTTTAAATAATTTGGTTTTGTCAGTAAATACTATTATTTTGTAAAATTAAAAACATGACATCATAAAATAAGGTTTCGACTTGACTTGACAGCAATTTGAAACAAAAAATTTAACTATTTTAAAAATAATGGGTGTTTGTTCCAATCGAAGGTATTTGCGGTGACCATCACCAATCCTTGAAGATTTATATAAACTCAATCTGACCAACAACTTAATTTTATTAATAATTTAGTGTCTCATCGAAGCTTTTCATTTTTTTTACAATAATTGACATAATGGCGGCCTCAGAAAATGTTTTCCAGATTTTCGGGAAAAAACCAAAAGCTAATTGTTTATAAAAAATCGAAATTAAAAGAAATGCTTTCGATCCGGCACTGATTTGTTATTCATGTTTTCAAAACGCGGTTTTCGAGTTACGTGGTCTTCAGTTCGAAAAAAATAGTTTCGAGAAAAACGCATTTCAAGTTTTAGAAGCCAATTACTCTAAGTTAAAAAACTTTTACAAATACGCTCATATCTCCAAAACTATTTGCGAAATCAACTTCAAAATCGATTTTTTTTAAATTATGACTATCCCTAACCCTTTAATATTTACAAAATGTTCTTGTATGGTTTTAAAAACGAAAATTAATTCAGATCAAGTTTACGATCAAGAGCAATTCTTCATGTTATCGAATAATTGTATTATGAACATTTAAATAAAACTACAACAACATTTGTTTCCTTTGTTGTGTCAATTTGCCTTTGCGCAACCTTCGGCAAATCATTACCAGTTTGCTTTGAGCGTATTGGCAACTCAATTATTCACTACGAATTAAATGACCCCTAGAACAGAAAGCTACTGAGTTAACTTCTTCAATTTAACTTTTTACATAAAAAAAACTCAGCAAAAACTAATTTTACAAACAACCTAAAACATTCGCATTACTTGGGGGTTTGATGTCCTCCACTAAGCTCAACAAGATTGATAGTTTACCATAAAGATCTAAGCCCACGAAATGTCATATTTCCACTGAAGTTGATTGGTTTTCAACAACCTGCACTTAACCAACCACTCAACAATAACTTTTGACATAAAAAGTACACTGCTACACAGATTGCAATACTGATTTACCACATTATTAAGCGCCCGAGCAAAGTGACGGGAAATTGAATAGAAAGTGTCATCGAGTAAACGAACTGTCAGCACTGATGTGGTGTTTCGCTTTCGCTAATGATGAAGCCAATGCTATCGTAGATAGCCTTAAATGTAAATCAATACTTGAGGAAATTTAAAAACGATGTCAAAATCGAGAGCAAGGTTGAGTAAATAGATTTTTAATGAGGCAAAGGATTGTCTGCGCAAAGGCAAACAAACACAAGCAAAAGTGAGATTATGTGACAGCAGTTCGCAGCCTCGCAAGAAACTTGCCAACCACACACCACCTGCAGCAGCAACCTGCGCAGCCTACAGCTGCTGGAGCGCGCTCAAAAAACATCAACTTTAACAGCTGATTTCCGCATACATATAAAGGAAGGCAGATAATTTATGCGAAGATGCTCTACCGGTAGACTGGCTAGTTAGCTGGTTAGCTTTGTTTGTAAATTTGAGTGACATAAAACCACGTCATTGACGTCATTGTAATGCACCTGCTCCAAAACGGTATATATAGCGATAAACTGTTAACCGGTATGCACTAACGGTAGATTATGTCAATTCAAGTAGTGTGATGTGCGCTTAGTATTTGGGTCCATTTAATTCTGCTACTGGGAGGTTTTTATGGTTCGACAGCATACATAAGTAATACAAATGGAAATACGAGGTTGCACGGTTAAACTAGTTAGTTAAAATTGTAGTTATGTGCTAGAAAAATGTAAACGTAGAATGACAATTCAAAGTGAAGATCAAAGCAGATTAATGCAAAGTACTTATTATTAACACAATGCTTCCTTAGCTAAACATAAGTGAACCTGACCTATGACTCTTCAAAATAAATATACCAATAATTTTTAGTATATTTAAGTGACTACAGCAGATAATGCTACAAGTCATACAGAGTCACAAATGTGGGTACTCAAACCAATCACATAGTTACATCGTAAGTCATGTCACCTAACTTTTACTATGCAAACTTTTGAGCGAGAGAAAGCTACCTTAACAAAAATTTACAAAATTAGCAAAAATCTATTATAAAAAAATAATAATAAATTCTTTGAACTCTTGCGCAACTCTATAACTGTTGATACTATGCATATTCATATATATTATATATATGTATTATATGTATGTATATAAGACAGTAGAATACAAAAAGTTTATAAACCAACAAAATTAAAAAAGCTAAGCTTTTGAAAGAGATAAATAAATTTTAAAATACATAGCAAAGCTTCCACTTACGTATGACAATGTATTTTAAACAAATTTATATTTACCAAACAATTTCCAAAACTAAACTAATGCCTGCAAAAAATAAAACTATAGAGAACATACCTAAGGAACTATAAATGTTACTGCTAAAATTATGCTATTTAAAAAAAACGCGCTATGAACAAAAGTAAGCTGTATTATACATATATAAGTACGAATACAAAAATATAAATTATGTAAGGGCATTTGAAAAAACAAAAAAGTCAATACTTATTAGAAATATTTTTAAAAAAATTAAATTTACTATAAACATAGTATTTATATTTAAAAACGTAATACTTTTTCTTTATACTCAAAAAAGGTTAGAAATTAAAACTAAAATAATATCTAAATCTAATAGATAAAATAAAATGTATAAGTGAACTCAAATTGTATCTCTAACGGTGCTATATATCTATCGTCTTAACAGCAAAAATATACTCATATAATGATTAGTTAATATACACAAGCGCATACAACTGATTTGGCCTTAACTAATCAGCTCTTCAACGTAAATGCAAAATGTGACATGTCAATTTATGCCAATGCAACCGCAGTTTATGTGTTAGGCAGCGTATAAAATGTTTGCGCATATGTTTAACCAGTTCTAACTACACGAATTGCAGCTAAACGCAATTGAAAATGCGAGCAAACGTTAGGAAACGGAAATTTTGCGCAGGCTGTTAATTGCCACTGGTGCACCCACCTAACTAGTTCAATACAAGCGATGTGCCGATAACAACATCATCGATGTGTTGTATGCAAAGTAAATATATTGGCATTAAATCGACATGTCGTTTTGTATTTAAAAGCAAATCTAAGAAATATTATATTTAGAGTGAATAATTAGTCAAAATTTTTATATTATCCCTTTAGCTATATTTTCCGCCAGAATGTATGCAATTTTCCAAAGTCACTTCATCAAATGCTACATTTTATTAAATTTTGCAACTAATTTCTATTTTACGGCAGCAAAGAATCTAGCCTTGCACTTTTCAAAAATATATAAAAATATAGGCGTGTGTACTATATATAAAAAAACTACAATTTTAACTGAAATAAGTATTGAAATTTCAAAAAAATTTATGAAACAAAATGCCCTAATACTAAAACTATTAATAAATACAAAAAGTCAAAAATGCGATTGCTATACATATTTAAAAAAAAAAAATATGAAATTACATAAATAAACGTACGTACTTAAATTTAAAAACGCAAAATAAAAAATTATGATTAAATTGCGGATATGTTGTGAATGTATCAAAATACCCAGCTAATAATAAAAACTAATATGAAAATAATTTATGTAAACAATAATTGTGGAAAATAAATAAAAGGAAACCAAAACTAAAAATTTTTGATTTTTTACTATGGTTTAGATTTGTGGCATAAAAGTTGTAAATGGTAAAAGCAAAGCATATGTGAAGTTATAAAACGTTTCATTGAACCTAACTATAGATAACAGCCAAATTTAGCGTGCTTGCTCCCATCATCTTCTAACATGGCTACCGTCAAGGCAACAAACTTATTTTAGAAAAACTGCACATTCTTTCCAAAACCAATACCGGTGTTGAATAATAGAATTTCGAGTTTTTAGGCAATTAACTCTGTTTTTCGTAATATATATCTTAAAAGTCCAACGAAAAAACACCAACAGCTTCTTAAAAACGTAGTCTTGACTTCATTTCTATTAAGACCCATTTATGCAACCATATGACCCATCCAACTTTCCTCACTTTGCGTGACAGTTCATACTGAAAAAACGAAGCGCAGAAAACTAAGGAACGCTTTGCTTTCAGTGTTTCTCTCTAATAAAAATGGTGACTGTTGCTTTGCAAAGCTTAAAAAGATGAGAGTTGCTTCGATTCGCGTCGAAAACTTTTTATGTGAACGTACATACAAAAGCGTACATCGAACTTTTCTGTCACAATAAATCTCTGTCGCAAAGCGAACCAAAAGTTTTGTGTGAATTTGCCATTAGTAATTTCAAATTTAATCTTCGAACTGTCTCGAATTTCGTACATGTAATTTATGTGCGTTTATCTATAACGACATACCCTGTATCATTCGAATCATTCACAATAGACACTGATATTTTTTTTAATTATAATAAACAGCTGTTTTGCTGCACCTATTGGGAGTTCTTTTGTTTTTATAAAAGAAACTAGATAAGAAAATTATTGTGGACATTGGCTGTTGAATAAAAATAAATAAATAAAATAATATATAGCAGCAGTTTTAAATAATCAGTGAAACAAAATGGAGCAACTATCTGGGGTTATGATAATCATCATAATAGGAGGCGGAGTGCTGACTTTTGTGATGCTATTCATCTTCGCCAAACGACAAATTATGCGTTTTACACTACGAAGTCGCCGTGGACCACACGTACCCGTGGGTAATGATGCAAAGAAGGTATGTAAAGAGCAGTTAAATTCATAGAATAAACAATTTTATTTTCTTTTATTATATATGATCTTTCAGACACTACGAAAGGAGATTGAGCGTCGTCTAGATTGCATACAGAAAATTGCACAAGAGCCAAGATTACTTTGGACAGATGATAAATATATTTTGCGTACGGATCAGCCATTACCGCCATATTATTATCGCATGAAAGCTGTTGACGATGTAAAAATTTTGGGTAAGCAAATATAATTATAAGTAATTTTTTATAAACCGTATATTTTATTCTAGAATCGGAAATAATGCGTAGCGATGGTAGCATGCGACATCCGTACGACAGTTTGCGCGCTTTCCTACTTACTACACTTGCTGCCACCACACTTAATTGCTCTGGACAGCAACGCATGATACATCAATTTTGCGATATGTATGAGCACGCCCGACACGATCCTAATGAATTTGGCAGTGAGGAATATGAAGCATATCATCGTTTATTACTCAAACTAATTGAAGCGTAAGCAAACATATATTTTGAATGCACAGTAGTTTATATGATTCGATATTTTTTTGTAGCGCTAAACAATTGAAATCTCTGATCAGTTCACGCAAAACATCTCCTGCACGCACACCAAAAAAACAAACAAAAATGCATTCATTATTGGACCCTGCACGTTTGCGTCCACCTGCAACAACACCTAAACTACCATCAAATACTGGTTTAACTGCAGGACAACAATCGAAGGTGAATTTGACGTTAGGCTTGCAAGGTCGTGATATGGATACTGTGGATATAGCAAATAATCCATTGCATTTGCAACCACCAGCCGAGCGTGATATTATAATACGCAATCGCATTAAAACTCCTACACTGGACGATGAGGAAGAGGATGACATTAATAATTTAGGGAGCGGCGATGTTGAAGCTGTGCGCATAGAGGATGTGGAAGGTGAAGATAATGAAGTAATGAGCATTTCATCGGTACAATTTCAACCTAATTCAAGTGTTGTTTGATTAATTGAGTATGCGGCGCGCGCACGTTACATGACAAGTGTGTTAAGGCGTCTGCTACCAAAATGAAAAGAAAACTGCAAATTCAAGTGCATGAACGGAGAAACCATACAATATGAGCGGTTTAAAAATTCGTGTATGAACCTAATCAGCGGCACTTTATGGTTTGAATGCAACTGGGTGTTTTTCCCCATAATCGATCCAAACCAAAGTTTTAATTCGAAGTCTTAATAAATAAAAGGATAATAGACTAATATTTACATTAAATATTAATGAATCTCAACCTTAAATAAAGTAATGTATAAGGTATATTATATTTTTTCCCAATATAAGGTTTAAAAACTAGTAAGATATATATACGTCGCAAATAGTTGTGAAATGTATTACACTACGTGTTATAATAAATATTTATAAAAAAGATAGTACCGATAAATGTTTAACTGTTGTTATCTTTTTACCAAATGCAGTCACATTAATAATGCGGATCTTCTTTATAGGTGTACCTGTTTTGTATACCGTATTTTGTATATTTTTAATGTTGTAGCGGTTATTTCATCCCCGTTTGGATGGTAAGATTCACGTTGGTTATCATCGAAGTCATCTAATGGCAGTTCCAGGAAACGTACTTTTTCGACGGAGTCGGACCATAGGAAGAGGAGTGTTAAATGAGTGGGGTTCATTGGGCATACAAAGAGGTGGTTACGAGTCATTCGGGGACCCATTGCACGATGATATATATTTGGTATGTCGGGGTATATTCTGGACAAGTAGGAGTTTAACCCGTTACAATATTCAGAACGAAATTACACAAGGGTTATTCTAGATTCTTGATGCAACTTCGGCACTTTGTCCGCTATGGGTACGCCATTCACTGTTGTTGCGTTCGTAGTCTGGTCAGTGTACGGCTCAATGTAGTTGACGTAATCAAGCAATGACCTCTTGATACTCCTAGAAGGCGGCTCCGCTTCGAGCAAACGACTGGGTTGATTTCGCTGAAGAGGAGTTCATTGTGTTCCTTAACCGGAAACAGGCACCACTATGCAGGTGTTCGACAGGACGCATCCTGTAATCGTACAAAGTGCAGCGTTCTGACACGTCTGAAGCTTCTTCGTCTGCGCTTCCTACATCTAGGCCACCATATCGTAGCGCAGTGTAGTTAATGTTCGGCCAAGCGAATGCTTTGTATATTGCCAACAACGTTTCTTTGTCTTTTTCTCAGGTGTTGCCGGAAAGGGACTTGAGGATTTTGGTGCAGCTCGGTACTTTGGCTACAATCATGGTCATATGCTGAGTGAAGGAGCACAGGTTGTCGAGTGGGGTTGTTTATCGTCAGAATTTTAACGTCATCGACGGAAAGTTGCTGGACCGGACGGTATTCCTAATATCTTTCTTAAAAATTGCGCAACAGGACTTAGGAAACCACTAGCACATATTTTCAACGCTTCTTTGCAGCAAGGTATTTTTCCCATTGAGTGGAAGCTGTCCTTCGCCACTCCTATTCATAAAGACGGACTCAGATCTGACGTATCTAATTGCAGACCCATATGTATCCAGTCAGCGCTAGCAAAGCTTTTTGAGAAACTAATTCTTCTTCAACTGACTCAATTCTTTTTCGAGATTATTCCGACTCAACAACATGGATTTTTTGGTGGACGGTCTACTACTTCAAACTTGTTTACTTATGTCAGTTATATCCTGAATGCAATGAATAATGGATATAAGGTGCATGCTGTCTACACTGATTTTAGTAAGGCTTTTGATAGAGTCAACCACGACATCCTACTACAGAAGCTAAGCGCAATTGATGTGCGAGTTAACGCCCTTAAATGGATTAGCTCATATCTAGTCGACATAAGACTCCAAGTCAAAATTGATGGTCATCTCTCATCCCATCCTGTTTAACATATTTATCAACGACATCGGTGTCAATTTTAAGATGGAGATCTACAAAAGAATCGTAAAAAACTCAGATTCTCATGCTCTCCAACAGGATTTGGACCAGCTCTCTACGTGGTGCATCAAAAACAAATTGGATTTAAGCATAAAAAAGTGTGCCGCTATATCTTTCTCATGTTCACATACTAATACTTCGACTGACTATAAGCTAGTTAATAATAAAGTCACTAAAAGTAAAGACATTAGGGATCTGGGAATTATTATGAGCCATAAGTTTACTTTTACTAAACACACTGATAAAATTACCCAACAAGATCACATGATGTTGGGTTTCATCACTAGGACCTATAGTGACTTCTCCAATCCTCACACGCTGATTCATCTTCATTACTCGCTTGTTCAACCAATATTGGAATATAGTTCAGTTATTTGGTCTCCATATATTGAACTCCTGATTAATCGTATTGATCACATCACATGGCTACTCACCAGAAGAGATCTGTCGCTACTTTAAAATAGCCTTTGTTCTCGACGTCAAATTGCGTACCTAGCATTTTTCTTTAAAATAGCCAACGGCATCATCGATGCGTCTGACATTTATAATAGTTTTGAATTTGCTCCAGCCAACCTGCATTTAAGACGCAAACGTTTACTATTGTTTTGAGTAAAGTTAAAATTTATGTAGACCTAAAGAGCAAGCTGCTTGACTACCATTAGTCAATTAATTAACCAATCTAGGAAACCAGCAGTCAATCATCCAACGTGTCAAATCTTACAAACCTGCTTGTGTACTGTCCCTCTTATATTACAATACTTATAAAATTTAAAATTTTTCTTTGTATATTGCCGATAGGCGTTTGTTTAATAAATAAATAAAATGTTGAGGTTCAGTCTGAACTCTTTCGTCCAGTTTGTAAATAGAGAGGCAGTGGATTTGGCAGAGAAGAGTTTTTGGCTCCTTGCAGTGAAGAATCGAGTGAGTTCTAGGAGATAGCCGTTCACATGCCATGCTATTTCATTGCCCGACGTCATTATCGTACAATCATATCATATATCCTTCTAGTGATTATGGGAGTTTTGAAATGTAGTGATTAAACAGTGGCGAAAAGAAGACACCACCCTACGGAACCCCTTTTTTAATTCTCCTTAATTTAGAATGTTGACCTCGAAATAGTACCGATGATTGTCGACTCCTCAGATAGTTCACTATCTATCTCTTCAGTCCTGGAGGAATAGTTGTGTGTTCAATATATTAAAGCAGCGTTTTATGGCCTTTTGACAAGTCCTCGCTACGAGGAAAGCCCTCTCGCAGGGGAGTTTCTGGTTGAGGCCACGAGCTGTTGTGTGAAAGTCAGGAGTAGCAAGGCCTAAGGTGTTTTCACTACTGGGGAAAGGAGAGTTATTGGGCGAAAACACTCCACTAGGTTGGGAGGCTTCCCCTGTTTCAGCAGGGGGTCACCCTTCCGATTTTGCACACATCGGGTATGTGAAGAGTGACTAGTGACAAATTGAGGACCTTGGTGAGATAATTATTTCCCGTCGAGCCTAGGCGTTTTAACATCAGCATATTTATAGCGTCTGGGTGAATGGATCTAGATGCTTTTGCCTTGTTGATGGCAGTTGAACCTCCTCGTCGGTAAAATCATATGGTGCGCAGTCTTTTGGCATTTTGCGTAACCGTTGGGTAACACACCTTTTCGCCTTGTCTACCAAAGCGTGCAGTATGAATTGTCGGCTAAAGTAGCTTACACATTTCTTGGCGCCCGACAAGGCACGAACATAGAACTGAATTTCGTTCAGTAGTCAAAAGCTTGCTTGCTCCGGCGGAGATATTGCATAACTTCAGGTGTTTCACTAATTTCTTCCGTTTAAGTTGATCTACCAGTTGTCGAATCTTCAAATTGACATCCCTTATGCGGGATCACAGGGATCGACCCTGGAGTAAGATGTCGTGCTCAATTCCTAAGACTGCTGCTTAACTTGGGAAATTTGGTCGTAGTTGTTGAATTCTACCAGCGTGGATGAAGCGAGCAGTACAGCAAACAAGGTTAGATGGTCGAAATAATAGCTCTGGCCGGATAAAATCCGGTTCAATTCCGATAACGTAAACCGACTGTCGTGGGAATTACACCGTGTTTTGTCATTGTTGACATCTAATCAATAAAATGGCAACCAAATTATTTGCTTTTCAATAACCAAAATGAAGTGAAATATTTGTTAGTATACTTACAGGCTGATTGGCGTACAACTGATACTGATAACTTATCATTATAGTCAAATTAGCATATCTGCATGCGGTTAACGTTACTCGCGCCGTTGAACCACTCAATGGAGGCATACCGTACCGATAACAGTTTTTGCAGATTTGATGCATACTTTCTCTTGTAATCTTTCAGTTAAAATCAGTTGATTGACAACGCGCACGTCGTGCGTGGTCTTGGTACGGAAAGTAAATAAAATAGATAAGGCTAGATAAAAACGGGAATATTTTATATAATCTGTAAAGTATGCAATGTATTGTGGGTTTCAATAATAACATCGAAAATGCAACAGAATTCATACTGACGTTAAAAAATATTAATGCCAACACGCTCGATTTATTCCTACCGGACCAGATTTGTGTTTGGAAACGTGCTGAACCAACATTGACGGCATATGTGATTTACGCTTTTATCGTTCCCGTACTCTCATGCTTCGGGTTATGTGCAAATTTTATTAATGCTATGGTCTTTATGCGTCCTAAAATGACGCCATCAGCTTTTTCCTACCTCGCTGCGCTCGCGTTGCTGGACTGCTTCTCCTGTTTACTCATTTTATTCACCGCACTATCGCGTAGTATTTTCTTCAACATCCATTTCTGGGTTGCGTATGATTTTCAATGGCAAACACCGTTATTTGGTATCAGCACCGGTGCTGCGAATCTTTTACTTGGAAGTGTTAGTTGTGACCGTTGGATTTACCTAAATTACGGCATCGTCAATGGTTGCGGACCTCCTCGTTTTTGTCGGTGCAAAGTAGCACGGTGTATTATTATAATGGTTATTATTATATCGGTGATTCTAAATTTGCCATATTTTTTCATTTTTGTGGTAAATGACGACGACACTTTTATAACACACAAATTATACTATACCACGTAAGTAAAGCCAGTGAACTTTTAATTTTGTAACATAATTTGGCGGCATATCACAGGAAAAGGGTTGACACTTGTTTAACATCTGTCAACAAACTACTGTTTTAACTACATTTCCGGATATTTTTTTTTACAAATGTATGTGTTGATTTATTTTCATGCACTTCTTCGCTATCGTGCATCATATCAAGAATGATAGAATTTATGTATTCTTGTTCAATATGCAATTTTGTCGTCTCTGCTGTACGTATTTATAAGTAGTTGTTTCGATTGAAGTGGAGTTATGAAAAACTATAATTAAATTCTGTAGGTGATAAACACGCCATCACTGACGCTTATCACATAATTTACTGTTTATAAAATCAGTACAGCGACAAACATTTTAGCAAATATAAATATATGTGTATGTGTATGTACCTATGTACATAATTCCATTTTGTGTATGTATGAAAGAAATATAATAGAAAAAATACCCGAGTATTGCCCCAAATAGTTTGAGCACAATGTTGATAGGGAATAGCAAGTTGATAAGGTCCTAGGGTAGTGCATCAAAATGGCGGATCCAGCGCTAATTGAGCGCATGGTGGCAGCACTGCTACCTACCTACCTGCCCCAAACTTTTTTAGTTAGAGGGTTTAAATCTATCTAGTCAGCAATTGTAAATAATTTGTTTATTGTAATTTAACATTCTTTATTTTACAGCAATTTATATTAATTTGTTATCGTAATTTAACTTTATATATTTTTTAGTTATTACAAAATACACAATTGGTGTTCTTTCATACTGTTAACACTGCTACCAGCTATATTTCTCACAATCGGTAATATAGCCATAATTGTAGCTTTTCGACGTTGGACAAAACAAAGCAAAAAATGTCAGAGATATGGAAATAATAATGCAAAAACAGCAAAAAAGCGTTATCAGGTAGGTATTTAGTGATACAGAGGAAATATAACTATTATCAAATTTAAATGAATTGATATATCCGTTTCCCATTTAACTTTTTCCTTTTCTCTCTTTTCGTTACGCAGCATCAGCTTAAATTAACCATAACAATTATAATTTTAATTGTACTGTACATGATTGGTGAGTTGCCCGCAGCACTTACCTCACGTAAAAATGCACTAAATTTGCTCTTTGGTGGCGACTTATCTCGTGTAAATTTCGGTTTGATGGCAAAGGTGGATATGATTTGTCTAACCTTAAATGCGCTACAGCTTAGTATCAATATACTCGTCTATGCTGTAATCAATCCCTCCTTTATGCCCGAATTCTTCGAATGTTTACGGGCCGCATCCGATTTTTGCTGCAACATACTCTGTTGTTGTTGTATACACTGTTCGCGGTGCTTTTGCTTCACCACGCACCAGACAAGCTCACAAACAGAGAACGTTGTGGCAAAATGTGGTTGCGAACATGCAACCGTTGATGGGCGCATTGAGTGCGATTGTGAAACACAGCAGATGGAAGTAAGGAAGAGTGCAATCAAAAGATGTGATGTCAGTAGTGCTGGTACAAATGGTAACTGGGACACAAATCCAAAAGATGTTGGGGACATGCCTGGCTTCGACTTGTATCGCTATTGGCGGAACAGCGTAACAACCCCACACACCCCAAATCGTTATCGCTTTAGTAGTGAGCACGGCGTACATAAACATGAGCAAGTGTGGAGCACAGACATGGACACATGGAAACGTTCGAGCTCATTTGGTGAATACGCGTTTGATAATTTAGCACTTGAAATTGGTACTGCGATTGAAGAAGTAACACATAATTTTCTGGAAGAACACGCAAGGGCGGAAGCCAGTGAAGGAAGTACGGAAATAGCGGCAAAACAAACAGAAGGACATTCGCTAGCGTTTTAAATGAATGAGCTAACACAGCAGGTGCAAGCGAGGAAGAGTGTAAGCAGAAGATATAATGTCAGTAGTGCTGGTACATGAACATAATAAGTTTTAACGTAGTGCAAAATAAATTATACAAATATATGGATTTATATATTATAATTATAAAAAAAAAATTAATTTAAAATTATAACTATTTTTTATTTATTTTAATCTTTTGTGTTTATCATCGGGACCGCGTAAATCCTTCAATGCCTGTGCCATTTGTTGTGGTCCATCCTCATCGTATTCAAGTTTCGCTGCTTTAATTGGTTTCATTATCTTGCTTTGTGGTCTTTCGCTTGTTTTTGGTGGGTCGCGCGCTGGCACTAGTACTGTAACTTCTTCCACTTCCACATTTGGTGCCGGTTTATAAACACTGAGCAGTTTTTGCCACTGCTTGTAGGCAAATTTACGTGCTAAATCCATATCGTAATCGAAAATTTTCATTATAGGATCTTTACGTGTAAATTTAATTATTTGTATGCCTATAAGTTCCTTGAAGTCTTCTGTTGTAGCGTTCTCTTGCAGATTATCGGCATTTTTCGCATTTGAAATTTCGTTGTATCTTACCATAGGTAAAATCCAGGCTGTACAATAGTTTTGAAACAAAATCATTAAAGTGTAAATAACTAGCGGAAATTGAATGCTTCTCATTTTTAATATTTTTATTTTGCCGCGTAACCACTATAATGTTCGTAAAACAACTGACAAATGTTCATCATAAGTATATTGAAAGTTGCTCGGAAAAGTTTGTTAGGCTAACAATTAATGAAATGGTATATAAATATACATATGTATATATGTATACAAATGTGTTTCTATTTGTGCATATACATACATATTTACATGTTTATAGTTTATAAGAAATGACATAAAAATGTGTACTTGATGTTATTTACAGCTGTGTACACAAAACTAAGAGCAGTTATATACATATATGTACTTATGTCTGTTGACCATAATATGCATGCAATGATATGCGTTTAGTTTCAATGACTGTAACTCTTTTTAGAAAATACTTTAAAACCAATTAGCTCAATTAATTTTAGAAAAATGTAATTAAATCGTTTGTTTAAAAGCTTCTCCGATTTATTTTTCTTGAATAAAGCTAAATTTGTACAACAAAAATATACAAATATTAAAAAAAGATATATATAAGAAAGTTGATTATTAATTGAAATCGGCGTGGGACTAGTACAGCGGTGAGAAACTGTAACTGTGCGGCTTTTTACGCTTAGTATAATAGCGATGACATCTGTAAAGAAACTGAATCCTTTATTTTAGACTCGCATAGCACCAGCTGTCTTTAGTTTTCTTTTTTCTGCACTTCTTCTTCGACATCTAACTGTTTTAGTCGGTCCATACGTTGCAAAAGCGTTGGATGCGAGTGATTACAGGCCGAGTACAACCAATCGTAAACAGGAAAACCCAAGTTGTCTAAATTCAATTTAATCAAAGCTTGACCCAACTGCTTCGAGAAGCCCAAGCCATGTGCGAACTCATCGGCTTGATATTCAAAGTAACGTGAGAGGGTTGTCATAGCAAAATTGACTATCGCATTATAGGGTGCCATAACATAAGTGAATACGACAAGCAAACCTACTATGATTGGGCGTGTACCAGGTTGGAAACCGACAGCTTCATAGAATGGTCCATAAGTGAAGCAATAACCAAATACGACGAATAATAAAAGTAAATGTACTTGTGCTATAATAATGTTTTTGGTGACATGTCCGCACTTCCAATGGCCCAACTCATGGCCGAGTACGGCGAGTACCTCTTCATTTGTGCAACCTTTGCCTTTATCTTCCTCTTTCAATTCAGAATCATCTGGCTTGCCTTTGTTCAATAGCAAAGTGTCGAATAGTACAATGCGTTTCGAATTCCATAAGCCATAGAAGTAGGCATTGCTGTGCGATGAACGTTTTGAACCCTCTACAACGTACAATTTGGTAAGAGGGAATTTCAGCATGGCTGCAAGATCTTCAATAGATTTACGTAACGGACCTTGCTCAAGCGGTGTATATTTATCGAAAAGTGGTGCAATGAATATTGGATAGATAGTAAGCAAAACTAACGATGTGATGCCTGTGAATAGCCACAACCAAATAAAGAATTGATCACCGCCGTTCTGTACAATCCAGACGGTTGCAGAAATAATAGGAACCATCAAAATTTGAGTGACGAGAAAACCTTTTACTTGATCCCAGGCGAAAAATCCTCCAGTTTGTTTATTGAAGCCATGCTTTTCTTCCAGTACAAATACCGAGTAAATCTTAAATGGAAGATCTTTAAATGTACCTATTACGCTGGTAACAAGTCCGAATAAGCAGCTGACAATTATTTCATTATCGGCATTTAAATGCAGTAGTTTTGCCAAATCTATTGCCCAGGCCCATTGCACAGCAATGAAGCCAGTATAGAGTTCAATGCACATTAAAATAACATCCTTTATAATGGCACTAAATACTCCAAATGAGGCTCTGTCAAGGCCATAAAGACGAGCTTTCTGGAATGTGTCATCGTTCATACAGTCTTTAAGCTCCCTGGGCACCTTCAAAGCTGTTCTGTAAACTCGTATCTATAAGTAAGTAATAACATAAAAATTGTTATTGTCATTTATATGTTATGTAAATTTATTACTTCGTGACAAAATAAAAATTCACATAAAATATAATTTGTGTAGAAAATTAAGTTCTAAACTAATTTATATATAAATTTTTAGATAAGTATACATATATAATTCTGACGCATTGCAGAGACAAGGTACCCACTACCCTGTTTAACATGTTATATTTTAATCCAAGTTATATTTATTTAACTCAAAAGTCATAAATGTTTATGCATACATATTCACAACTCTTAAATTTAACAATGCACATATGTATATTTACGAAAATCTTTCAATAACTCCAATTACCTGACGATATGTTATGTAGATATCAAATATGTTTTCCAAAAGGATCACTCCAAGAACGCTATACAAAACAACATCTCCCGCTGGCAAAACCATTTTCTTACTTCACCTTTACTGCTTTTAGAATGCGAGGTGTCAAAATTTACTGAAAGATAAAAGTGTCAAAATTCGAACAATTTGTAATTTTATATTTATTAAACATCTAGTAGTTTACAATCAGTTAACAAATAAAACTTACAATTTTTCGCCAATAGACAAATATTAAAGATAAGCGACGCCGCAAATGTGAGCAGCAGCTGCCAGTTGCCTTGCTGCCTGTGATGCCAGATGAGATCTTTCTAAAACTTAATGTAAGAGTTTATTTAATAAATATTGTATTAAAGAAATAATTTAGTATACTATGTAATTTAAAAACTTTTTCTTTAAATACAATGGTAATTCTTTACATGAACAACTATTTGGAAAGTATTTTTAATTGCGAAATGTCACATCCTGAAGTCTATTGTGTACTAGCGATGAAAACCAGCTATTGTGAATAGTTGCCGCTAGAAATATTTGTTGATTGTATAGAAATAATTCGTGCTCATTTCCAAAGCGATATTATTGTGGTTTTAAAGATTGTATTAATTAGGTTGAAGCTAGTATTCTTGTATAAAATAGTATGCCTGGTGCAAGTGCAAAGAAGCAAAGTCCTGGAGGTGACTCCGCAAGGAAACATACAAGTAATAGTTCAGTACGAAATGTAAGCGGGTCATCGGGGAGTAGCAGGGCGCGCAAAAGGTTTGTTTAGAACTTAAAGCAGTATACAGGGTTATTTGAATTGTAAATACAAAATGCAATTTATATTTCTTACAGAAAGAGATGTCAAGTCAAGAGGTTTAGCGATAGCGACTTAGAATCTGAATTAGAGGATATGGAAGACGCGATTGAAATCGAAAAGAAATTGCGAAAAGTGGCCCAAGAAAACGATTTAAGTCATGATGAGATGCGCCAATTGATACAGGTTCAGTTTTCCCGAATATACAAAGTCATTGATTTAATTAAATATTTTTCGTATAGAAATTTGTAAAAAATGAACATATTCTCGCTCTGGTGACGCTGAAAGCAGAAGATGAAATTGCGCGTGAACGTCAGGAATCGGAACAACCAGCCATAATAATTACTGATACACCGTCTGTGCCTAAATTGACCAGGGCTAGAGCACGCGAGTTAAATAAAACGCCTGGAATTATTTTACCAGCAGTAAATGAAATTAAAGAGCCGGAAATTGCAACTCTTATACAAGACGAATTAAATTCAGATGATGACGATGAGGAGTATGTTTTCAAAGAAGAAGATTTTTTTGTAAGTAAATTTCGACTGTATTGTTAAAAATTATAGTTTTCTAAAATACTAATATGTTTACTTATTCTAGTCCGATGAAGATCCAAATAGCACAGTGTCGGATTTGGATTCAAATCCACGCACACCACAAACACCTTTATCACAGACAGAAGCTGAAGACTCGCCCATGAAGTTAACAGCAGATGGCTGTTTTAAAAGACCATTGGAAAAACCTAGGGGCACACGCCAAGACGTGCGAATTGCGGCGCGGACGCGTTCAAAATTATGCCTGCAGCAAACAGCTATTGAAGATTTAGAGTCTGAATTTGTGCCACCTGATGTGGAACAAATTGATTTACAAGATTTTGATATGGCTGCTAACGATGAGGAATGGATGCAATTTCTAAACGATTTTTCCAAACCCTTAAGTAAGTGTCATGAAAATGTGAAATAGTTCAGTAGTGTAATATTTTTAATTTTTTTAAATTAAAGGCACCAGTTTTGTAGCAGATGAAGATGATCCCATTAATGATCCTGAGTATATAGCGGCCGAGAAGATACTAGGTTTGACAGTTATAATTGCTTGCGTTTTGACTTAACTTATTTAATAACAATTTATTGCAGAGGATGCTGAAGAATTGCGTGACTTCAATATACCTAGAAAGGAGCTAACTGATCTCGTGGCTGAGTTGTTCGAAGGCTTAGTCAATGAAGGCGTGTCTCTTGAAAGCATTGAATTGGATACTCCACAAAAGTTTTTACTAGATAATTTCGGCGAAACGACCATTACCGAAGATAAAAACATGAGTCCACTTTCTGATAAATTCGCTACACCTACAATTCCTGAAAATGATGAACGGAGTCGTATAGTAAAAGAGCTAAACTTTGATACACCAACAGCCCGGCCATATAATCCGCCACTGCCCCAGCCAAATTATATTACTGATGTGCCACCTTTAGTACCTATTAGTAACAATGTGACTGTAAACGATTACTCATTCAGCCCAAATGTTGTGTCCACTCCTTCAACGCAACTACAATCGCCAGTGGCATATACAAACAGTCCAAGCCAAGGTGGTGGTCAAGTTGTAACACTTCCCCCCTCCAACTTTTCGTCCGAACCTGAATGGATAGCTGTTAAAATACCCGGACAAACTAACTCGTATCAATTAGCACGTGTTGTACCAAATGCCAACGCAATTGGACCACCGCCGCTAGTTAGAATACAGCCACAAAGAATGCCAGCGCATACACATGAACTACCTTCTTCTCCAAAATCCTCACAGGATCCAATTTACAGTGTACCATACGACACAAATTTTACATGGGAATATATATCAATTAGAAAACATGTATATACTGAATATTTAAAGAAATTTGAGAGTAATCGTAACATGGCGAACAATATTTCGCAAATGGAGTTGTCAAACCAACCGATAGGCTTTTCCAAACAACAACATGATATATTACAACAGCAGTTACGTATCCACGTACAAATGCTAACACAAACATTTATACAAAGCTACTCACATCCGATATATTGGAAGCTTTCGTTTAAGGCGAAAGACATGTTGATGGAAATCGAAAAAAGATCACAAGATGATGCTTCGTTCCGCGCGTGGAACCTCAAGCCAGCTATGAGCCTTATACGACAATGGGAAGAAGATTTAAATGACGATACAAAGGAAAACAAAGATTTGATGAAGTAAGTAATTTGCAGAAACAATTAAAAAAATATCAATAATCTTAATGTAAACTTTATAGATTTATACACAGCGAAATTAATAGCACGTAAGTGTCGGTCATAACTAAACGCCCTTCCTTTTAAACTTTCTTTAATATGACGCATGTAAATTACAGCAAAAGTAATTGTCGTCAAGTTCCACGTTTTCCCCCACGCATTATGGAATTGGTAATAAATAGCGAGGCGTTCATGTATCCAGAGTATTTGCCCCGTATACCATTTACTTCAAGACGAACCAAGTATGAAGCGTTTGCACCTGCTGAAATGCAACTAATTGCTATGGGTCTGGAACGTCATATACGAAAAATACGCGAAACAGGTGAGCGCATATCAAAGAAAACCTCGGAACTAAAGGTAGCTGTGGAACGGTTAACAAAGGACACAGTTTACGGGAAGTCGTATAGACGAATATGGGCCCAAGTGAAATGCTTGCGAAATGTGGATTATTATAATCCAGTTAAGGTAAGTAACGGCGTATACAGAGAATAATACATAACTATTAAGTATTATATTTGCATATATCATTTAAGTACTATTTCGAACACAAACGTGCTCCACCAGTTCAACACAAGCTTATTTACTTCGAAAACAACAAAGTATTACCACCTAAGGATCGTTACACTGAGCTACCGTTGGCCTGGCAAACGCATATAGATGAGGTAAGTGGATATTTAATTTAAATTTACCGATTTAAAAGAGAACGTGGCGGTAAATATTAAATATAATAGCTTATGTGTTTATTTTATTGACATAACTCTTATGAGCAAATTGTCATTCCTATATAATATCGAAAAGTAATATTAGACTCTCATGTTAGGTTCCACATAAATTTCATAAACTCAGAAAAATCCACAAGATAATACAATGTCACTATATTGGGGTATTGTACAAAAATGTGTCTTTACAGTTAAGCTAACATATTAAAAAAAAAAAAATATTGCCAATCACATTTATTGTGTGCTTCCGACACGATCTCTAGGTATCAGTCGAAGTTCCGAACCATGCTTCAAGAATACATTGCCTGCTGTTTGTTGTGGGCTAATACCAATGCCATCATCTGTTATTATAGCGCTAGTTGCTGCTGGCACCTTGAATTCTTCCGCTGCGAATTTCAGCACTGCTGTGAATGGTGTTCCCTCTGGCACGCTGAGTACTTTAAAAGGCAATTTAGGATCCGATGTTAATGTAATTTTGAAAGTTACTTTAGAACTCATGTTTTAAGCTACGTATTATACAGGTTTCACAAAGTAATCGTTGTGACGTGGTCACTTTGGAACTATATACTAAATTTTGCAGTAAACAATACCCAAGATTTGGGCCAACTTAATTTATGTCGCGTTAAATTAAGAGTCTTGCTGGTTGAAAAACGACACTTAATTTTTAGCTTAGTTTTTTTTCAAAAACTCAAATATTTATTTATTTGCCAATTCGCAACTTCCTAGATATGTTTAGAAATTCACTTTCTACTTGATTATTTGAGATTGACAATTTTCGTAGTTATCGATATAATAATCGATAATTAAAATCTTATATTGAACTGAAGTACATCCTAGTGTTGATATATGATCGTAATATATATCTGGATTTTATGTCATTTGCTAATTATTATTCATTTAAACGAACCTTAAAATCTCAATTATTTTAGATTACTCATACATATATATACATATGCAGTCAATTTATTTGTAATTTTCTTTTTTATATTGTATATTCAAAATTTATCTTGGTATATAGGTTTTAAATGGACATTTTTAAACGTACTGAGAAATAACGATAATTTTAATAGTGCAATCGAATGCGTACTGTGAAATTACATGTTTAATGTGATAGAATATTTTTTTAATATAAGGTATTAAATTAAGTATCTTTCACGAATTAACACAACTATTTACGTCTTGTTTACAATTGACGTGCTGTTCTATGCTTCTTCTTTTCAACGCAAAAGAATTATGTCACAAGATGGTGGTATAGGGCAATTTGGTTTTGCAGCAATTGTCACAGCTTAAACCGAAAGAGTAATAGTAAACTATTGTCGTAATATTGTATTCTATCATTATTGATTTTAATCGATTAGTTCACAATTATTTTGTTTATATTTGCGCTTTTGACAATTTGACATTAGAGTATCTAGAATTTTGCAGTCTGTTTAATTTGTTAAGTTTTTGCAAGTTTTGCAATACTTTTCTAATATTTGTGATACTATTTTATCTTTAGAAAAGACGAGCAGAACGAAGAAAACGAGGTGTATATGCATCTGAAGCAGCTGGGTCGTCCTATTTGGAATTCGTTCGTGAAGCTTTGGGTGAAAATATAAAACTACCAGATAGCACAACTAAAACTTCATCACCGGACTACAGTGGTGCTAACTCATCGTGGTTTTCACAGACAAGAAACAATAGCTTCTTCACCAAAACTCGTTCGAAAAGAAGTATTGCTAATTGTGTAACTATAAATGTAAATTATCATTTTACTGGTATTACAACAATTGGGGACCCACAACAACCCATCAATAACACAACTGCGCTAGCAATAAAGGAAGCATCTTCTACAGACAAAGACTACTTGAACGCCTCTGAGTACCAAAATGCAAATATCGCTTCATATAATTACGATTGGAGTTCCAAAACTTTGCAACCGATTCTTGAACCGAATCAAAGTGGAACAAGTGTAAAATCAAAAGTTAAATCAGCACGACGCAAGTTGCATTTGCCTACTCGGTTTAAAGCTGGGGGCTTGAAAAATACCCGCTTTAGGGCATTGCGACGGGTATGTCACATATTTAAGCGACATAAGAAAAATAAACGCCAACGGCAACAACGAATCAGTTGTTTATTAAATTGTTACCGCAATAATTTGAAACGAAAAGAACTACTGTACAATCGTGTACCAATTGTACTCACAGTTTATAGATATTTCCAAGCATTAGAGTTATACACAAATTTGTTAAGAGATCTCAAAATGACTTGTCGTAATGCTACTTCCCCTACTTCTGGTGGTGCCACTCCCAGCAATGTACACCCCATATCAACGAGCACGCCTACTACAGTACAGCATTTGCCGACAGCAAAGTTTTTTGTGCATAGTTCACAACAATATTTTGGTAAACGTGCGCGTGGTGAAGAAGAGTCCAACGTCTGCTCGCGCAGCAAAAAGGCTAGCCGACAGGAGGAAAATTTCAAGCATATGCTGCTGCCTGATACGGCTGAGGATGCAAATCGCAAAGATGCAAGTATGTAAAAGACTAAAGTGTACATAATAACGACATAACTAAAATTTATGCTTACAACATTTAATTTTGTATACGCAGTTTTCGCACTTAATTTTTATGAAAAGGTGGAAGAGGCTTTCAAAGCCTCAAATCGTTCTGAAGACTGTAAAAAATTCAATCATATACTCAAAACATTCGATCCGCGTCGGGATAAGGTAGCGGATTTATATTATGTAAGTATAAAGCTGTTTAAATACTTGAGGTTAGGTCAATAATTCAAGTATTTTTTTTTGAATAGAAATTAGAACAACTCTTTCTACCTGAGCATCCTGAGCTGGCTCAAGTGTTCCTAACTTTTTTGTTACCATCTGAAGCAGCGGAAATTGGAAAATTTTTCGAGCATTTTATGATTAACAATATGACAACATTTATCAACAAATTAAATATTTATTTTAATAAACAACCTGCTCAAATACGAAAAATTTATAACTGTTTAGCTGAGTTGGCGGAGGATCCGGAAGTTACCATGAAAAAAGTCGAAACAAAAATTTTGCCACTGCTCAAGGGCAATCAATTTCTCATCGATTGGTTTTTGCAACAGTTTGCTGAGGCTAAACCACCAGAAAGGTATAAACATAACGTAACTAATTTTAATTTATAACTACGTTTTTAACGGTTTTTGTTTATTCTATAAAGAATATTTTCAACGCCAGAACAAGTTAATTTGAAGGAAGTCGAAATTAAACCTAACTTATATGAAACTCTCAATGATTCACACGAAGTTTCAGCGCCTTGTTGCGAACTCCAGCAGCAGCAACAGCAGCAAAACCAAATGCACAACTGTCAGTTGAGAGTGAGTGCTTTAGTGGCAGTGTACAAATAAATATAATATATGTAACAATTTTATTTTCTCCATAGTATATAAATGGACGGATCTTCTATGGTAACAAAATGACGCTGCCCGCTAAACTCTCCTTCATGGCGAATAACTGTCAGCATGAAATGACTGAAGAATGTAATAACGAAGAGCTGTCAGAACTACAAATGGCCGAATGTGTGCACGGTATACGCGAGCATGGTGAGAAACAATTGGCGGTTGCTGTGGACAAAGCAGCAGCAAATGCGGCGGCTGACTGCACCAGTGATGACAACGATAAATCTGAGGAGGAAGATGTATCCAAAGGTAAGATATTTAGATACAATAAATAAATAAATATATATATATATATATATATGTATATTGTTATATATATATATATATATATGTATATTGTTATATATATATATATAACCAGCAGAAGAAAAAAAAAATATATATATATTTCATATGTTCACTCTAGTGTTAATAGTTGATACGCCTAACGATGAGGACACCAGCTCCTCACTGGAAATATGCGACGATACGGCTTTACGTGCACATGCGATGCGTCTTAATCCCTCTTATTATGGTAATACATGCTTTGCGCCGCTTACGAGCACACCAAATACGAGCAATAACTGCGCGCCTCATCATTCAAATGCTAAGAAGTCTTCGTTGAATTTTAACGATGACGGTAAAATAATATCTCCGCGCAAACATCTAACATCTGGTACACCTACAAGTGCTAACACAAGTACCGTCAGCCTAACACCTTTGCAATGCCTATCGCCGAACAACTCAAGTGCATCTAGCAGCGCGTTAACAACGACAACAATTACCGCACCCACTACAAATGCAGTCAGTGGTAATAATAGTGACAACAATGCGGATACACAGATTTTCCAACAGCTACGCGAGAAACGGAAATCGCCCACAAAGAAGATTAAATCACCTGTGTCGGCGACGCGTATACGCCCAAGCGTCAATACACTACAACCAATGGTTGTGGTGTACGAACACAATCCTGCCATCGCGTGTGCCAAGAAACTACAATCGTTGATTGCGGTAGAGGACTATGAAGGTGAAATCGATAATAAAGATCGTATTGCTATAGTGGCTTGTGCCAAAAAACCTGGCGACACCAGTCTAGAGCCGCCTGTTGCGGACGATAGTGTTGTGCTGCAGTCGCATGAGCGTAGATCAGGTTCACCGCATACGCCGCCACTACTTACAGTAACTAAATTGGAGCACAGTGATAATTCCGATGATTTGGAATTCATACCAGAGAATGCCGAGGTGGCACATTCATTTTCGCATGATTGCTTCGATCACCATGTTGAGGATAGCGATTTGCAGGAAGCTGCGACTACTACAACGTCAATGACGGCGCGATCGTCAAGTGTATCCAATCATGTGGCCACAAATGAAAACTACACTGAAGATTGTAAACTGGAGGTGGTTGCCACATTGAGCGCTTCAACGCCAGATGATGATGTAGCGACATACAAATCGAATCAAGCGTCAGTTAAAGCGTCCACACCTTGGACACGTGAAGAAGACAAGCTTATATTGATAGAGATGAAGTTGAGCGTGGGCATAGAGAAAGAGCTACTCTTCAAACTTATGCATGATAAGTTGCCATCTCGCTCGTTGGAAGAAGTCAAAGAACGCTATAATTTTTTAATGGACTTTCTGTCAAAGCTTCAGGGCAAATAAACAGTTATTTGTATTTTAATTTATTACCTATATATTTAAGTTATATTATTACATACATATTTTTTTAAATAAAATTAGGCAAAACGATTTTCGCCTTAAGAATTCAAATCTTTCGATGGTTTTGGTTTGTAAGTTAAGTTCCTTAGCAAGAAACTTCCATAAAATACCCTCTTGTTCTGAGTTTAAACTGTTATGGAACGGTTAATGCCGGGAATGCGTAACACAGGTAAATGAGCAACTGGAAATAAAAAGCTCACCCGATTAAAAGTGTGCTAGCAAATTATTTCAAACATGTATTCGGTGAGATCTTTTTCAAAATAAACTAAAAAATATATTGTTTAATTAACGTTTTAAGTTAAAATCCCTTTAAAAATTCGCAATCTAGAATTTTGTTCTCGAAAAATCTAAATTTTTTGTACTCATCTGAAATAGCAATATGTCTAACATTGGGATTAATGGTTTTGGCCGGATTGGACGTTTGGTATTGCGCGAGGCAATACGTCGAAAGGCGCAAATTGTAGCGATCAATGAACCTTTTATCGATGTAAAGTACATGGCCTATATGTTGAAGTACGACTCAACACATGGTCGCTTTAAAGGCAAAATCGCCATAGAAGGTAAAAATTTGAAAATTAACGATCTGAACATAAAAATCTTGGCTGAGAAGGATCCAACCAAAATCAAATGGAGCGAAGTTGGCGCTAAATATGTGCTCGAATGCACCGGCAAATTCACATCTACCGAGAAGGCGAGTGCTCATTTGAAGGGCGGCGCAAAAAAGGTAATTGTCTCAGCGCCCGTTGCTGATGCGCCCATGTTCGTTGTTGGCGTCAATTTGGACGCTTATAAACCGGATATGAAGGTTATTTCGAATGCATCGTGCACCACTAATTGTTTAGCACCCTTGGCGAAAGTCATACATGACAATTTCGAAATATGCAATGGTCTAATGACTACAGTACATGCAGTTACCTCATCGCAGAAATGCGTCGATGCACCGTCACCAAAGAAATGGCGCAGCGGTCGGGGTGCGCTGCAAAGCATTATACCTGCATCGACGGGTGCCGCCAAGGCAGTTGGTAAAGTTATACCATCTTTGAATGGTAAATTGACTGGTATGGCATTTCGTGTGCCTACCGCAGATGTCTCCGTCGTCGATTTAACGGTTAGCCTTGGCAAGCCAACTTCACTCGATTGTATTAAAGAGAAAATCCAAGAAGCTTCTAAAGGTCCAATGAAAGGCATACTCGGTTATACGGAAGATGAGATAGTGTCGGTAGATGTCACAACTGATGCGCGTTCTTCAATTTTTGACGCTAAAGCGAGCATAGCATTAACCGATACATTTTATAAATTAATCTCTTGGTATGACAATGAATATGGTTATTCCTCGCGTATGATTGATCTGGTAAAATATGTGCAAGAGGCGGATAAAAAGGCAAAAGGTAAAAAAGATGCTAAAAAGGGCGGCAACAAGTGTGATAGCAAGAAAAAATGATAAATGTTTCGAATAAAGAAAATTATGGTATACCTTTTAGAATAATGGCAATGTTTTGCTTATTCGCTTTAGATTTACGCTAATGTAACAAACCGACATTCATTTCTATTTCTTTTTGTAGATAAAATTTGAATATCGCGAACTGTATCGAATCCAACAATTTTATAAAAAAAAAATACACTTTTGAACTTTTTTACTTTATTTTCTAATGCGTTTCTCTAAATAACACATAGCTATCTACTTTTGTAGCACTTTCCTCTCAACTAAGCAACTTAGTATGGTCTCACTTTCGATTGTGTGGCATGCGTTAGTATCCATGTGTTCTTTTCACGCTTCTTCATAGCCATTTGCTTATGACGCGGGTGTGTTGGACAAATTACATAGAGGCGCTCTTGTCGCACCACAAAGTAACAATCTTTGCAGCGCCGACGCAGACGTCCCTTAACCTTAAAACCTGCGACTTGAGTTAAAAGTGAATTGAATGGTGTGAGCAGACGCTGAAGTCCACTTTCGACTGCAGTGTTTGTGGCAGTGATATTGCTAGTGACTGCAATCGGCCCGCTTGCTGCCAGTGTCCTACAGTTGGCCATTATGTGATATGTGCGGCTATTTGAGTTGACGACGGAAGTCTTTACATTGGAAGCGGCAGTCAATAGACGTAAGCTGCTTTTATAAACATGTGCACCAATTTTAGTTATTAACGACATCTGTGAAAATGTATTTATGTAAAATTTTATTGTCCCTTGTACTGATTATTAATAAATTGAATTTTATCACCTTTGTAACCTCTTAACACCAAATTGCTTAATTCTTCCAGCTGTTGCAAATGTTGATAAACAGCTGTTCGCGTGTAAAAGCGCTCTTCTACTGATTATCGCGCCATCTTCAGTAAAGTTCTTTATGTAAACTTAAATAGCGCGATTCGATTTCCTTTTCCTTCATTTTGCTACAGTTGCAGTCAATGAATTCAATTCAGGTTTGGTAAGCAATTAAAAATGTAAAGAGGAATTGTGTTATAGCTATTGGGTGAAAATATATTAATTTTGATTAATATCGTTTTAAAAATATATATTTAGTATGTAATAACCTAATATTGTCCGCCATACTAAAATTTGTCGTATGCTTTTTCATTAAGATGCGGAAACATTATACGATGACCAAAGATTCTAAATAAGAAAAATATTTGTTATGTTGAGAATTGTAATATCAATTAGTGTTTTTGGGATCGCTCCTGATACTTTCTAGAAATGCTAAAAAAATGCCGTCCGTCCCCAATTTCAGGTTTCCATTTGGTTGCCTCCCAGTAATTGTGAGTATGAATTGTATTAAAATTATTTAATAAAACAAATTGTAAATCCTTGTTTCTACGAAATGGTAGCTACAAAGTGTGTAATGCAGAAAGTGGAATATCGGTTAAACCGGCCAAACAAGGAATTTTATAAAATATGCTCTAACGCACAGTTTCTTCAAAATCAGCTGTTATATTCATATTGAAGTTTTACACTGGGAAGTTGATTCCAAATCTGTAGTCAGTTTTTTTCTAGCAGCTCTAGTTTTCGAAATATGAACAATTTACATTTTTAGCCAAAAATACTTCCATTTTAGAATTAAAAAATATATTGCTCTTACTTAACATGAAACATCAGTCTTGTTTTGAATGCTCTAACTGTTATCAGTTATCATATTTGCATTCCAACGACCCTGGTATCCCTCTTTTTTATAGTTCGAATATTCTGATGAAAGCGTTCTCCTTGTTCTTCGCTTAAGTCGAATAAATTTTTTGGGAAGCGGTCTAAATGGCTGAAGAGGAAGTGCATCTTGATGCTCATGTCACATCCTAGTCTCCGGAAGTGCAACATGAGCTGATCAATGTGTTTATTGTAGTCGGGAGACTTCTTATCTGTCAAACAATCAGTAAAATGTTGGACCTTTATTAATTCCCTGATTTGAGGACCGTCAAAAATACCATTAAAATTAATTTTTTCTGTGCTCAATTTCGGAAATATTTTACTGATATATTTAATATATTCCCCATACTTGTTTAAAGCTTTTACAAACTGTCAGATCTAACTTTAAATGAAGAGGGGGTAATATAATGTAGACCGCACTGACTACTAGAGGAGCATTCAGAACATTCATACTACCCGGTATTAAATTCACTCTCAAAGGCCAAATGTTTTTGGTCCGGTGCTCTATCTTGGCTCGAATATCGCATAAGCGCATGAAACAGGGGTATTTGGTATGTCCTCCTGGTTGACCCAAAAGAAAATTTCCTTTTTTAAGATCGACGCATATCAGCCAGTTATGTTCTATGTATTTTACTCGCAAAGTAGTCCAAATAATGCCTTTTTTATAGAATCAGATGTATTTAAACGGCATTCTCTATACTTATAGTAACCACAAATAGCACAAACCTATTCGGATCAATTAAACAAGTTCTTTTTAATGTAGATATAGCGGTATTTTTTAATAAAATTTAGTAATTTTTTGCCCCAAAACTTAATTCAAGTAAGCCGAGTAACGATATTTCAAGAAGTATTTGTAACATTTAAATGAGAGCTGCTAATTCACTCTCAAAGGCCAAATGTTTTTGGTCCGGTGCTCTATATTGGCTCGAATATCGCATAAGCGCATGAAACAGGGGTATTTGGTATGTCCTCCTGGTTGACCCAAAAGAAAATTTCCTTTTTTAAGATCGACGCATATCAGCCAGTTATGTTCAATGTATTTTACTCGCAAAGTAGTCCAAATAATGCCTTTTTTATAGAATCAGATGTATTTAAACGGCATTCTCTATACTTATAGTAACCACAAATAGCACAAACCTATTCGGATCAATTAAACAAGTTCTTTTTAATGTAGATATATCGGTATTTTTTAATAAAATTTAGTAATTTTTTGCCCCAAAACTTAATTCAAGTAAGCCGAGTAATGATATTTCAAGAAGTATTTGTAACATTTAAATGAGAGCTGCTACAAAGAAACTGAGGGTAAATTTGAAATCAGCGACCTCAAATTAGTAAGAGGCAGTTTGTAATAATAATTAATTTTGTTTGCCAGCGTTTAATGATTCTATTCAAATTCTACACCTTACGCACATAAAATTCAATAAGACACTTTTAGTTTTTTTGTAGAGTTCATTTTTATTATTACTGAAATAATATTTTTGTAATTTCATGATGATTTGTTAGAGTTGTATTCTAATATATTATGTATTATGTAAAATACATGTATATATATATAAAGTATTGTGAGTTAAATATTAGATTAACAAAAATTTCAGAAGAAACACTCTGCTTTTTATTAATTCCTATAAATCTTTTTTCTTTTAGTGTGGATGTTATAGTACGTGTGCATAAGAATTTCTTGTAGTAAATTTTTATTTTTTTAAATATATACGTATGCAAGTATCTCATGTAAGTCATTATTCCTTTATTCTTGTTAGGTTAGTTTTGAAATGCACTTACGCAAAAATTATAACGGCTTAAGAAAATGCTTAGATAATATATATAGGAGTGTGTCTATTTAGTATGATATTAAATGCTCGGTGTTGGTAGTATTTCTATACATTATACATATTGAATTTTTAGGTTTTTTAGTAACTGCAGTAGGTGGATATTTTTTGTTATATATTTAGTTTAATATTTAATGTTGCTAATTCATATAGTGGATTCCAATATGTTGCTGAGTATGCACACTGATTTTCGCAGCAATTGTCACTTTTCTTTGTTATGGAAATTCAAATGCGCGCTAACTTTGAATATATTTTGCTTCACTAATGTTTTTATTTTGCTTATTTTTTCATGTTTCTTATTTGTACTTAAAAATAAATTGGAAATACGAATTTTAAACACACATACGACACAGTTTATTATTTTTAAAATATCGCAAATATATTTGAATAAATTTCAAACTATATACTAACAGTTTTTTTCTATTTATTTCAATATTTTGTATACGCATATAATAAAGTCGTTAATATTTGATGTAAATGTTAATATGAAACTTACAAATAAGACAGCGTCGCTATGTCTTTCTGTTGCTGTTAACATTAAAAATTTAAATTGTTAACATTAAAAATAATCACTCTTACACTTATTTTTTTCTGTTTTGAAATTAAAATGTTAATATATTACACAAATTTTAACCATATAAGTTTTAGTGCATAGGCAAATCTAGTCAGTAGTTAGGAGTTTGTAACTTTCTCTAAGTTTAAAGTAGTATCTTCTTAAGTACTAAGTACTTAAATTTACAAAAATTACTTTAATATACCATTATTTCCGTAGTTTTTTATTATCCTTATTAACATAGCATAAAGTTGTTGTGATTTTAATATTGTAATTGAATGCAATCAAGATGTTTAATTTTAGAAGTTTTTGTTATTTATTTTTTATAATAATTCAAATTTGTAGGCTTCACTAATAAATCTAATTTACGCTACTTTTGATTTTAAAGAATAAATTATTATTTCAGAAATACATAAATATCTGTATAGCAGCAATCGCAATTAAACTTTTTTTATAATTCCATGGCACACTGTGTGCAGTGTTGCAGCACGGCGAAACTCGCTCAAGCAATTAATGTTGCGACTTGACATGTTAATACATATTAATTATTAAAATATCTAATATTTTTGTTTTAAAGTAGTCATGTATAGCATGTGTTTGCATAATTCGCAACCTTACTTATTTTTCATTTATTTGGTTTTAATATCCTTTTACATTAAACTTTAATTTTTAATAACTTTTGGAGTAAATACTTCAAATGCTTTCTGTGAAATATGTATTCAACTGTTTAGGTACTAATTCTCTGCTCAGATAATAGTTTCATATATTTTAAAAATAGTTTACTTAAACTTTCTTAATTACTTTTACTGAATCTTAAAGCATTAGCTTCGCTACAGCCTATAGGGAGAGTACTTATGTGTATAGAGCTTTTTTATGCTACGTAATATGCATAAATATACTATTTATTCACATTTGTGTATATTTATTTTTATGTGTATATTGGTTATAAATTTTATTTTAAGTTTGGTGTAGTATTTATTCTAAATATTTTGTAGGAGTTCTTAGACTAAAAACTGGAAAGCTAACTACATTTTTTATACTATTGTAAAAAGTAATTTAGTTTCTTCTAAAGTAGCGGTAATACAAATGAAATTATAGGAAATTTAATAAACACGACAGGAAAACTTTGAAATTTTGTCAGAAGCATAATCAAGATAAAAAATACATATATTCGTGTTCTTACTATTTAAACTGTTATCTGGTTTTAATTTATCTGGCTACCTAGTCAATTATCTTTGAAGATGGTTTCTTCGAAGAAGTCGCTTTGTATGAAAGGTTCTGCTGCATTTTCTATAAGAAATGCATAAAATTGTTATACAAACTCACTCTAGCAACATTTCGATCACATCTCCCTATTTTCCATTCTGAAGTTTTACTGTAAACAAAAGATATAGCACAAAAACAACGCGCCGCGAAAAAGTTGACTTCGTAAATGTGTTGTGCTAAGAAAAAGCCACTTGACCCGATTCCTTGCACTTAAATTTAATACTTACGTATGTACGCAGCATTAAGTGCTCTTCGAAGGAAAAATTGCACTGTTTTTAAATAAAATAAAGAGCGATTCCACCTCATTAAATAACACGCATGGCACTCTTAAAACTTGTCTTCAGCATTCCAATCACTTCTTCACACAACTAACATGTAAACTAAATGTGGCACAAAAATTCTACTATAACGCTTTAAGACGCTAAAAAGATTGTCATAAATATTTTTAATAATGTATCTTAAATTTTATGCGTTTGATATATGATTACGCATTTCCTAATTTTTGGATTTGTAATCCTCAAACTAAGATAGCATATGTTACCGTTATTTATACTATTAATATTCCATCAACTGCCGATATTTTTGGTTTATTGATTTATTATATCGCTCTGACATTATTAATTTAATTTTTATTTCTACTGAACGTTATTTAAAATACGAATTGTATAGATTCATAAAAAAAGGTTTGACAAATGTGTTTGTACGTGATATATGACACCTAGATTTCAAACGGTTAAATATGTATTTTATATTAGTGAGTGCGCTGCACGGTGTAAACCCATCATAAGTTATGCAAAGCTGCTGAGTTGTTTTTCACGTTGAAATTTCTTATTAATATTTTATTAGAAAAATCTTAAAACAGAAGAATAAGCGGAAAGGTTTTCTTGGAAAAAGTTTTCTGAATCAGATAGCTATAGAATACCCAAAATATTTATTTATTTAATTTTTTTAACTAAATAGTTTAAATTTTATAAGACTAACAGTTTCTGAAAATCAATTGATAGCGCTTGATATTTCATAAGTGAAGTTTTAATTTATCGAAAGCTAATAAAATAGCTGAATATAACTTTTCAGAGTTTTTTAAGGCAACTAGACTGGTTTTAAGACTTTGGTGAGCGCTCCAAAGTGCTTTATTTCAAAATACATTGAGACTGATTTCGAATTTATATATACTTGTAATAATAAATCTACACATGACTATCGACTATATGTTATCTACAAATATAGCGACAACATATGTTTATCAAAGATGGAGTAATCAAAAGAGTTATCGAATTTGTAAATTATAAACAACAAAATCGCAATGCTGCTAAATTTAACAGTATATACTTTTCTGATTCAAATTTTTTTTAATTTTTAATTACAAAAAAAAAAAAACAATTCTTATACATAACAGATAATATAGAATTTTTTTATAGACTATATAGAAGTAATTATTATATAATATATAGACTCGATATTTTTCAAAAATATATTTTTAAGCCATTTTTGTTCAGTTTCCTATTGTGTATACCTTTTGTATGTATATTTCTCATTTTTGACAACTCTGATCTCTACGTATTCATTTCTTAACCATTAATCGGTAATCGATAGCAAACATTTGTGCCGATTGTTCAATGCTGGGGCGAACATTGCAATCGTCAAACGTTTTCATGCACTACATTCGTAAAATACTTACTTAGAATTTTCATATTGTTTTCAGATTTATATATTTATAATTTTTGGCTTTTTTTTAGGAAAACAAATATTTTTACCACCTGAAATTTCTAGCTGGCATTTTACTCTTAGAACATCGAGAAAACAATTTTATGTTTCACACGCTACTGAAAGAACAATAAATGTTTTATAACCTCAGCTTGTTTTAAGCATTAATTTATAGTAATAATTTTTAATTAAAGTTTAGTATATATATATGTTTTCAATCGTTATTTCTTCACTTCATTTGCATAAATACAAATTTTTTGTGCTTCAAAGATGATCACAATATAGTTGAAATATTTGAAATGCACTAGACTAGGAAAGGGGCAGAAGGCAACTCGACAGGTGGATATCGGAAGACTTAAAGCTAAAAACAATAGTTTAGTTAAAAAAACTTCAAATTATCGATAAAAATATTTTCTCGATACATACGGTTGTGATTAAAGTTGATAAAAATCGATAATTTCCTTCAGAACGATTGTTAACTAAAGCTTATAATTGATCGTTTTGAAAAACGTAACTTTTACCGATGACTCTTAAATACATATATTTTTTAAGCTTTGAATGCGAAATTATTTACTTAAAAAGAACGTTAACATTATCGATAACATACATTTTTGCGATACATGCAGTTGTAATAAAAGTTGATAACGATTGATCGTACCTTTCGGAAGGATTTTTATTTTAACTTCAACAAATTTAGCTATCGCTTTTTAAGAAAAAATATAAAGTTTTTTATTCTGTCGGAAATACAATCGGAACTGTTGAATGCGATATAAGAAAAATTAATATTATCAGTCGGAAGGCCTAAAGCTAGAAGTAATAATAAACAATAAATTATATGGTTATACTCAAATTATCGAAAAAAACATTTATTTGTTTTTTCTTCTAAAATTGGGGCAGATTTTCATTGCATTCAAAGCAGGAAAAAATCTAACAAAAATGTCATATTGTCATGCCATATTTAAATGAAAAATATTTAGTTACTCGATATCGATTTTAAGATCGGCGCATTATAAAGCGTTTCGACATAAATTTAAATATTTTAATTAAGCAATGATAATAAAAATGTTAATCGTCATCAACAGTCTGTAATGAACAAGATAAAAATATTTAAAAATGTATCGATCTCGATTATTGCCTAATTCTTATAGCGCTATTAATGGAAGGTAACACAAGTTATGCATTTCAAGATATGTAAATTGAGCAATGTTGTTGCTTAATGTGTATTGCTTTCATGATTCATTGTTTTTGTTGCTTTATAAGAAGAATGCATATCGATAAATCGATAAATGAAGTTGACTTAAGTTTTTATCGTATAAAAATTGTTAATTTTTAAGAGAAAACGACAACATTAGATTATTACTGTTTTTATGGTAGGGTTTTCGATAACTCGATTTTCAATTGTTGTAGGTTTTATAGGTAGGAGTTATATATGCTTGTTATTATATAAAATTTCATTTTTTATAGTGTTTTATTATCATATTTCATAATTTGTTATTAGTACATAATGTTTGCAGTGTCTCCTTGTTTTTCATGAAGATCTTTTGCATATTATTTTCTAAACACAAAAAAATTATTGTGGTAATAAAATTTTGCATATATGTACATAAAAGGCAATAAAATATATTTTTAGGGGATTACTTGGATCTCATAAACGAATTTGGCAATGGTTTGGTTTTGGAGGGTTTTGGTTATTTTTTCTTGAGAAAAAACTTAAAATTAATTTCAAATTGACTTCAAAAGATTTTTCATTTCATGTTTTTTTTTCAAATAAAATAAAATGTATATATACTAAATGAAGAGTGTGTAAATTATATTTAAAAAGAAATGGCTGGTGTAATAAATACAACAATGTTTTTATTATTTTTTCATTTCATTTAAAATTTCAAAAAAAAAAAGACAAAAAACCCAAAAAATAAAAACTATTAATCTATAAAGTACTGTTTTGTTCTTTCTTTTTTAGATTTTGAATATAAATATTGCTAAATAAATATTTTTTTATTGCCTGTTCTCATAAATACGACTTTTTTAAATATTATTATACTAAATTAATAAATCAAAATATGTTTGGTATAAAAATTGTATTTTCTTACGAATTAAAAATCAAAAATTAAAAAATAACATTTTTTGAGTTTTGTTTAATTTAATTTAATAATATTTAACTAATTTTACAAATTAAATGACAGAAAATTGCCAAATTTTTTAATAAAGTATAGCTGATTTTACATATTAAAAGAAATTCAAGAAAACAATGTGTTTAAGAATTTAATATTTTTTATTTAATAATATTTTTGCATAATTTAAATTTTTTAAATAATTAATTTTATAACCTAACTGTTAATAAAACAAATATATTCAAGTTTCTTAAGCTTCATTACGACTAAGCATATATACATAATTTTATTTAAAAGCAAATTGAAATTTTAAAAATTTAGTTTACAACTATGCTTATTCAAAAAATACTTTATTTAACTTAAGTAATACGTTCAAAGGTGAACAAATAATAACAACATGACTTATTTATAATACATTTGCTTTAATAGACAATATTGCTTAATGGTCACAAAAAAAAAAAATAATAATAATATAAATAGATAAATATTATTAAACGTTTCTTTAAAAAATAATATTATTTTACACATAAAAACCTCCTTGTCTTTTTCAATCAAAAATTTAAAATAAAAAATAAAATGTATTTGCCACTGCGCCTCTATCTAAACTGTTTTATATTCATGCTTGCTACACGCCTGCAGATATGCATGTTGCTCGAGTTCGAGCGGGTGTGTTTTCTTCTTCTTCTCACCTTCGTTTTGGAAATTCTACTTAAAATTCTTATAATGGCACGTTGTTCACACGCGAGTACAAGGTGTTCAAAAAAAAAAAAAACGCACCGTAACAATATTCGCACTTACACACCAAACGATATTGCAGCTGGCTAACGCTTGATTTCCTGCTTCACTTGCTTGTTTCCGTTAAAACAATGTAATATCCTCGCATAAACTTTATATCTATCTCCATCTCTAGCTTTCGTCCTTTCTTTCTGTGGTTTTTTCCTTTCAATTCCTAAACAATCTACCCCAGTACTTTTGGGTGTGTGTATGTATGCGGAGTTTCAGTGTCTTTAAACGGGCACCGCATAGTCCGGATTCACGTAGGAAAAGCCCACAAATTCCGTTTGATCCAAATTCATCATAAATACTTTATCCGTTGGTGTCAGATCCGTTTTCTCCGAAGTGAATTGCTTATCGAAATTCGAGACATCTTTGCGATGTTTCTGTGTATGATTCCGGGAGTGTGTGCGTGTGGGTAGTGTAAGGTATTTGCATATTAATTTTATATAGCGAAGTGTGAAAACAGTTATTTGAGCGCAAAAAGGGAAAAGAAGAGCATATTGAAGAAATAATCAAAAGAATTAATTAAGTTTTTGAAACCTTTTTCTTCATTTTTGCTTTCACTTACAATTTTCGGCTTAAATGGCGGCTGCACTTCACGATTCTCAATTTTCTCCCAATCGATGCGTCGGAAGAACGGATGTATACGCACATCCGCCTCGCCGGTTGGCCCACAACCGAGGCGTTTGCTTGGTTGCTTGGTGAGGAACTGAAATAAGAACCGAAACGTAGCATGATAATTTAATTATGTTCAAATAAATAAATATATAAATATCATGTGGGTAATGGTCATTGGGGTCCAATGTAATTTTTCATCTCGAAATACCTCGAATATTTCGAATGAAGTCATGGATGGATGAAGCGTTATATTTTAATAAGACTGTCGTGTCTTTCCAAACTGATGTTTTATTATTTCCATAGCGATATGATTTCTTATTTTTTAAGGAGAAACAAGGGCTAAACTAAGAATTGATAGCTTATTGCTACTTCTCTCGTTCATGTTAAACGAGCTTCATGTAGCATTTAAAGAATGTTTGAAGGATGCTTGGAATCCTAAATATGCTTAATATAATATATGTAATTTCCAGGATTTCTGATAACTAGTGCAAACGTTAGATTAAGTACTTGACAGGGGGTAAGACATGACCTCAGGCCTTAGCCGCAAAAAATATTAAATAGTACAAATTATCTCACAATTATGTCACATCAGTAAGAGTATTTCAGATATGAAAATTTTTTTTTTTTTATAATTTTAGTGCGTTATATTCGCCTTTTCAGGCGAAAGGTTACTTAACTACGCACACGGATTTTCAAATTCATTATTTTATGAAAAAAAACAAAATTCCTGGCTTTATGAATAAATACATTTTAAATAAAGATATATGTTAAGTTATCTTTAGTTTGTTATAAACTTTGTTTTCCCCATAACTGAACTTTTGGACTGAACGACCGCAGCAGAAAGCTGCGATTTAAATGTGTCCCGGAATTCCCTGGTTAGGTCAATCTGAGTGTAATTTTTAATCTTTTAATGTCAAGTTCGGTTTTTTTTGCTACAAAAAAATACAGCCCTGAGGACTAAAATTTTAGCTGCTCCCTAAAGAAAGACATAAACCCTCTCGTGTTAAATTTCGAAATCCATTGAATCTGCTTCTTATAAATGGAATCATCCGTTGCTAATGAGTACTAAAAGTAAGAGTACAAATATAGCCTATGTTCTGAAGCCTAGTGGTCTTCAATAAGTCGCAATATTTCGTCTAGGTATATATATATAGGGCATACTTTTAAGCATGCTGTTGGAGCAAGTATTACCAGTCCTTTTGGACAATTTTTTGTTCTTTATATTATATGAATAAACAAGTAGTACTGTCTGGTTTAGAGTGAGTGAACTGACTTCAAAAACGTTTTGGTGCTTAAAATATATAAATAAGAGTCCTTACTCTTCTTTAATACTGTAGTGTTTCTAATAATTTGTTAACCGTATATATTATGTACAATTAATAGTCTTTTCGGATAGGTTACTAACTAAAACTATCTTTTTATCTAATACTCATTGGAGAGCCGAAAAGGGGTTCTAAAATGCCTGCCAAAAACATATCTTTTACAATTAGGAAACTGACAAACTTTTTTCGTTTACACAATGGATGACATCACAGTGTTGTTTGAGTGCTTTAGTTTGGAATCCATAGACTGCTGATTTCTAGGTCAGAATCGAAGGCGTTTAAGATATTCATGCTGTATGTAAGGAAAAAATGTATACATAGACAAGTTAAGGATAATAACACAAAGCCTTTAGTGTTCTCAAGAACTAATTTCAAAAGTTTAGTATTTTAGCAATTCTCTTTTAATATTTTTAAAAAGTTTTTTTAGCATTAAAAGATATTGTATTTAACAAATATATGAAAAAACCATCCATGAGTATGTAAAAATTTCTAAAACAATATGCTTGAAAATTAAAAAAAAATTTGTCAAAAACTTAAATCCTTTGCTTTATGTTTATTTAAAATTTGCAAGGACACTCAAATGTATGTTAAAATGATGCCATAAATAAAGAATACACATAGTAGGTGCTTAAAACTTATTCCACTCCATGTAAATATGTGTACATTTGCATATGCTCGAGTGTGGGCTTGTTTGCCGGACATTTAAAATTAATTTATGCCCAACGACATATGTGCATAGTTAATGAAGTTCAGTCAACGACAGTGAACAAAACTAAAATATATACTTGTATAGATAAACAAAAGAACAGTTGATAGTTTAAAGCTATAAGCTTTAATGGGTCAGTAAACAACATAAAAATAAATAAAGTTCAGAAAGAGTAATTTTTTCTAAATAAAGGCATATCGTGCATTTTACTTACCCCTTTGCACGCCTCTTTGGCCTCTTTGCTCAAACTTTTCGGATAGGAGACATTGTGATCGGTAATGGCAGCAAACAACTCTTCTTCATCCTCACCATCGAACGGTGGCTGGCCGACGAGCATTTCGTAGAGTAAAACGCCATATGCCCACCAATCTACCGATTTGCCGTAGGGTTGATATAGAATGATCTGTTGAGGGAAAATAAGAGTAAAAGCAGTGTGAGCGAGAATAAAACTGGCGTAGTTTTAATAGTTATGTAAACCTGTAGCCTTATTGCTGTAATACCTTATGTAACTGTTTCGGAATGGTTTAAGATTCAATAATGTAGAATATGAGATATAGGTGATCTCGATGTGGGAAGGTTCTAGAAAAGTGGCTTTACGAAAGTGAGCATACACTGCGATGATAATATGGCTTTTACATGTTAAAGGTGGTGAGACTATTGTAGTTATCTTCAATTCTGATGCAAATAATGCATTGAAACAATAATTGAATTATCATTTAAAAAATTTAATTGTTTTACTTTCTACGATTGGTTAAGAATGACTTTAACGCTTTCATGTTACATAGATATAGCGACCAAGACACCCCAGATATAAGCTGGGAGACCGACAGAAATAAATACTGGCTGGTGTCATGCGATATGCCATACAAAGAGGAGGAAGTACCATCGCAGCTGATTAAAGAGCTTTTACGAGACAGCGAAACATCCAAGTGCTCGATTATACTTGGATGCGACTCCAACGCACACCACACATTATGGGATAGCAGTGTCATAAACGAAAGGAGTGAGCTGCTCTTTAATTATTTACTAGGAACTAAGCTTATTTTGTGCAACAAAGGGAGAATGCCAACATTTAAAACATGACAGGAAGTATTAGATATAACACTGGTGTCGGAAGAACTGATAAAGCAACCCATTAGAGAGTTCTTGAGGAACACTTCTTTTCAGTATCGGTATCCAGTGAAGAGTCTTTAGGCCAACTAATGGATACTCACTTCCCAGGTAGCTCTGAAAATCATACAGTTGAGTATATACAGCACAGTGGAGTCGAGATAGATTTCATTCCTGTAGATAAAGTGTGAGCAAGCTATGTATATTGGGCAATAAGAAGTTTCAAGCAATTCAAATCGCCGGGACCAGACAGTTTATTGCCGGTACAATTGCAGCAGTCCCAGAACTACATAATAATCTGGCTAGAAACCATCCTTAAAGGAAACGCTTTCAAACACATCCAGCCTAGGGCTATACTGAGCGCGTTTAAAGATTTGGACATTTTTGAACCAATGTGCAGATCTGTTCAAAAAGGAACCTCTCAAGGAGGAGTGTTATCTCTACTTCTCTGGATCTTAACAATAAATAAATTGTTGTTAGGTCCAGAAAAGGATGGGGTACATATTGCGGCTTACGCTTTGTGGACTTAACCTAAATGCTAGTAAGACGGAGCTAGTATTGTTCACTAGGAAACACAATACTCCAGAAGTTATGCCACCATTATTAAATGGTACCTGGCTAACAATAGGAGATTAGGCAAGCTACTTAGGACTAATTTTAGATAGGAAGCTGTCATAAAAATCAAACATAGACGCTACGGTGAAGAAAGCAACTACAGCACTTTACACCTGTAAAGGGATGGTGAGGTAAGCCGTCATTTTAAATTTACTGTCAATAGACTTGTTCTGTAAGCAACTGGCAGCGAAGTTAGCTCTAAGACTAAGGAAGTCTTTATATATACAGATAGTCAAGCAGCTTTGAAATTACTAGAGCCTCCTAAGGTTTCATTAAAGATGGTGAAAGAATGCCTCGATATTTTATTGGATTCAACATTTTATTTCACGTTAAACCTGCATTGGGGTTTAAAGCATAGTGACATCTCTGGTAACTGTGGAGCAGGTGAACTATCCAGAACAGGCATCACCCTACAATTGTACTCCGGAAAAGAAGGAATACATATGCCTCTGGCCACTTGTAAATATTTAACAGACAAATATGTTATAAAATTAGTCAGTCCCGGTGGAGCCAATCACTGACGTGCTCAACATGTTATAAAATTAGCTCAGTCCCGGTGAAGCCAATCAGTGACATGCTCAACAAGCACATGTCGACTAACCAAATTCAAAAGGAATGATATAAGAGCTCTAATATTGCTGCTAACAAATCACTGCCTAATTGGCAGACATACAAGCCAACTAGGTGCACTATATAATGACTATTGTAGAAGCTGTCAGGAGGTAGAAGAGGAGACGGTGAAACATCTTCTATGCGAATGCAAGGCTATTTACAGGAAAATAATCGCAACTATCGGTGGAGGGTGTCTTGACGTTAAGTAAAACTTTTCGTGCTGAGGAACTTCATCATAAAGGCCTAGGTGCGTCGTTAGACAGCCATTCTACCTACCTACCTTCTGGTATTGGATATCAAAAATTATTTTCTTGTGGATTTTCCCATGAGGAAAATAAAAATATGACTGTGCATTACGAAGACTCAGAAATTAGGTACAATGCTCGAAGCGGATTAAGAGGCACAATATACAGTTTATCTAATGAACCCTACCCTAATGGGGTTCTAATGGAGTGAGTGATCTGGGCACAAAGTGAGTGATCTCAGTCAGTTAACTAGGTTAAAAATATCATTGCACAGGTGTTGACGGTAAATTGAGTGCCGAGAGTGGACTGTTCTTCCAGTTAAAGACTCTACTATTTCCCCATAAAATTTGGGTAGTGTTGAAGGTTTTGATAGTCAAAAAATCACATTTAGCGAATTTTAGAAACAATAACATACAGATATGGAATGGGTAATGTAAAAGCTATAAAGAACTTTTTATTATTATACAAAAAATTACGAATTATAATTTGAGGTTAAGGAGTTAAAATAAAGAATAAAAGTTTTAATGAGTACAAATAAAAATTAAAGCTTTCAACACTGTGAATTATTAGACAATATTGCATGCCGACCGCCGCCGATGTTATTGCCCATATGGACTAGACTCTCTAAAATGTTTTGTAGATAAACAAATAAAAATAGCTTGCCTTTTAATGCAACCAAACCTCAAAATACATTCACACAAAATTTGTGTTTATCTTTGAAATGAAATCGAAATTTGAGTTTCAATTATTTTAGCAACTACTTGCAACAATATCCACAAACACACACACACACCAGTTTCCCTTTTTACTCACCTCGGGTGCTATGTAGTCGGGTGTGCCGCAAAATGTCTTTGTTGTCTTCTCACCAATAATATTCTCCTTACACATGCCAAAGTCGGCAATTTTAACATGACCATCGGCATCCAAGAGAACATTGTCCAATTTTAAATCTCGATACAAAATGCCTTTACTGTGTAGAAAGAAGAGGCCGGCGGCTATTTCGGCTGCGTAAAAGCTAATAGATTGGCAAAAAAAAATTGAAAAAAATGTGAAAAGATATTTGTATAGAAAATAATGTAGCAAATCGAAAAAAATTTAAGTGATATTGTGCAAAGAAACCAGTGCAAATAATACACTGCCGAGATTGGCCACTTCACAGAGGTCAATCATCGGCATAAAAGTCATTTACGCCAGAGGTCAGTCAATATATATAAATGTTTGTCCTTTGATTTCTTACATTTTTTTTATTTTATTCTGTATTTTTCTTTGTTATTGAGTTTGCTTCATACTTACACAGCCACCGGTTCCTTGAATTTGCCGAATTGTTGTATTTGAAACATCAAATCGCCACCATTGACGTACTCCATGACAAAGAAGAGGCGATCTAGTGTTTGGAAGCATGAGTGCAGCTGCACAAGGAACGGCGGCTTTTCGCCCAAAGCCAAAACGCGTTTCTCAATCATTGTACACTCGACATCATCGTCCTGTATGATGACATCCTTTTTGAGTATTTTAATGGCAAAAAGATCTTCGGTGCCCTTGCGTTCGGCCAGCATGACCTGGTGTGGTTGAATGGAAGATTAATGAAGAAGAAAGAAAGTTGTGTGAAAATATACCTAAATGATTTTTAAACAGAAAAATGAAGTATTAGAACTTTTAAAGAAGCACACATGAGCTTCGTTTAAAATGTGTCCAAATCAGGCTATAAATAATATTACAATTTGTTCTTTTCAATAATTCTACTGACATTTCCTCTCACTCACCTTGCCGAATGAACCTTTTCCCAGCACTTTTATGAAATTGAAATCGGTAGCACGTATCATATCCTTTTTAGATTGTGTCTGTGCATTTGTATCGCTGCGCATCACCAGTGGTTTCTTTTGAGATGATTTCTGCGAATGAAATGCGAGAAGAGTGTTGTAAGTAAATTCTACAAATGTGCGTATTGCGGAATCAAATGTTATTTCTCAAATTGGCTTATTGGTTTTTGTATGCAATTTACCCGCATTTGACTTTTGAGTTTTAGTAGATCCTGTGTGGCATCGGCGCATGGCACATTATAGTATTCACCCTCCTCTTGTGTGAGCAATTTGAACCAGCCATCCGCGGGGTTCTGAAATATTGAATTGTAATAAATATATGAGAAAAATTTCAGAAAATAATAACAGTCTTTCAGAACAACAAAAGTGCTTGTAAAAGAATTCATATTTTTTACAGAAAATTCTGGATATCCTAATTGGAAGACAACTATTCGAAATAAGCTCTTTTTGTAAGTAGTAATACTTTTCACTTATATCACAGTGTTATAATTGGTGATGATAATTAGCCTTGAGCTGGCGTGGAAAGCCAACTTCTTTGCTTCTGCTTATGTACACATACAAAACACATTGTTCAACTGTCGTTGATCAGACTACTTCCTACGAGCACCAATCACAAAGCAAAATGGGAGAAATAATTTTTTTAACTGTGTTATAAAAGAAAATTATTAAAAACATTTGTACATAACTGACAAGCAATTTCTACAGCAAATTTCGTGTTCGAAGCATATAAATGTATAAATCAACTAACACGAAAGGAAGAAAGTAGGTAGTAGATTCGAAAAAACGTTAACTTCGGTTGCACCGAAGCTAGAATACCCAAAAATACAAAATATTCCATACAACAACTTGTTTTTGATCGGTATAAAAATTAAAGCCTTATGTCCGAGAATTGAATTTTAGTATCACAATAGATCGTTCTTAAAAATTCTTTAATCTCACCTTAATAATTTCGGATATACCAAACGATAAAGCGCCCATAAAATCATTGCGCGAAGTACGGTCCCAATCCCAGACCTCGATAAGTACACGCCGATCTTTGTCTTCTGGCTTGAGATCACTAAATGGAGAGAATAATAGAATATTATATTGGTAAGTCACTAATGAAAATGGGGCTATTCTAAATAAACAGCAATGTATACATTAGGCTGGGTAAAAATAAAACGAATATTGCCTTTTCCCTTGGTACTCTGAAAAATAGATTCTTAAATACCGCAACTCAAATCTCTCTTTGTATGAGATCTTAATTGTAACAAGAAGGTTTTCTATTTTTAATACGCTTTTAATAGCTTGGGTTTTATGTATGCAATGGAATCTTAGAGCTAGTTTTTCAGAAGTTTGATTGACTTGAAACTTTGCAGACGTGTCAAGGACCGATGACAATGCAATAATTTCATAACAATTTCCCATTATTTTAAAGGTGGGCGTAACCCCGCCCCCTAAATGGTTTAATGCATATATCTTCCACACCGCTAAAGCTAACTCAATGCTGAGAAGAAGGCCTTTTAGCCCTTGTTCATACGTTATAAAAATGGGCAAAATCCGATAATAACCACGCCCACTCCCTATATAACAGTTATGTTAAAATATACTAAAAGTGCCATAACTGGCGAAATAAATGCGTCATTAGCATTAAATTTCACAAACAAGATGGTAGGGAAAAGTTTTATAGGAGGAGGTGTAAAAATTGTAAAATGGGCGTGGCACCATCAACCTTTCGGTGAAATCGTATATCTCAGAAACTATCGAACCATCGAAAAGTGTGTTTTTTTAGTATTTTAAAACTATTATTTATTTTCTTATTATCAGATAGAAGAATTCCAATTTTACTTTCAACTACTTACAAAAATATTTCGTTTCAAAAATTTTTTAAGAAATTAAATGCTATACAAACCTTTTTGGAGAGAACCTTCTATTAAGTTAAAGTTTGATTATTTTAAGGCACATTTTTTTTCTTATGAATTTGAAAATTTATTGCTTTACAAAATAGTCTTTCTTAATTTTTCGATTAAGTTAAGCGTTTGTGAAATATCCATCGTCAGAATTGAACGAAAAAATATAATGATAATAAAAGAATTTAAACAAAATTATGATATCGTTTTTGCAGCAGTAATGATTGTTTTTCATTATGTTTTTTGTTAATTCATAAGAAAAAAATATTATACAAATTTTTTTGTATGGCTTAGAAAGCTTTAACTATTTTAGAACTCAAAGGTTTCAGAAAATCTAATCATCTTCAATACCAATATTTTAAAACATCGTCATATTCTATGGGATTTCAGAACAAGTAAAGCTCAATTTTTTAACTAAGCCAAAATGGATACCAAACAATACAATATTTTTTAAAATTTTCTTTATTTTTTAGAAAGCTTTCACGTAGATAATAGGCAGCATTCTAACAAACTCGAAAGTTTTTCCATATCCACATATAGTACATATTTATCATTTAAAAATGCTTAATGCCTTATATTAATAATTACTCACTATTTGATGGTCTCATTCCACACAGGATTCAGACAAGCTTTGATGGTACGCGTCTTCTTCTTGGACTTTTCATGTTCATCTGGAATTAGTTTAACCTTAACATAGGGATCACTGAGACCATTTGGGTCCATTGGAATGAGATTACGGCCTTCTTTGACTAGAAAGGAGTAAAATTTTTTTGTATTGTATTATAAATGGATGCATGTTTTGTACAGACTTATGTGTGTATAAACATATATATTAGATAAAGAGAAGTGCATATATTTTTGCAAGTAACTTAAAAAAGATGAATATAAAGTTTTACTAAAGTGAAGCAAAAAGTATCCAAACGTTAATTAAAAACAACAAGTAACAAGTAATTAAGCGGTAAGGACGGGTGTAACCAAACATTTTATACTCTCATAATTTGAAAAGATCAAGGGCGGAGAAATACTTTTAGGTGTTGGAAAAATTTTATATTAAGAAATGTTTCATAAGAATTCAACATGCATTATTAGAAGGATGGATTACAGTCAAATTTAGTATCTTATTAACGCATAGATAATTACATCTTGCTTCGTCACCAAGATATTTATATTAACCTAGTTAATTCAAATGAGATATACATACGTATGTTAATGTGATATAATATGTGATATGGCCTAACCAAATGGGCTAAATTTAAGATATTGGGTATATGAGCAAATATTCAACCAGAGAAACAAAAATCATTACACAAGTATTAGGGGGAAGGAAATTCGACCATGACCGATTTAATTTTATTTTAACGCTATGCATAGACATTATTTCATTAAAATATCACATATTTGAACAACATAAACGGCTTAAAGTCTGATGTGAAGTAAAAATTGATGAAAATCACTATATATATCGGCTATATTGATGCTCCTTGTATATTCGATAACTTTTTTCCAAACAATTTTTTGAAGAAAACTCACACACCGACCAAGATATTCGCCATAAAGTTGGATTGAATAATTATACTCACTATATGGGAGTTGATGTAATTCGTGGATCAACTGCATATACTTTTGGTATGAAACTTTAGTATATCGAATAATAGACACTCACTTTATTTTCCTAAGATATCTTACATATTGATCAATATGTATAGATATATGAGGGCTACGGGTAATTTTGACCCGAATTTATCTACATATATTGTATATATTTATATTAGGCATATGGAAGCAAACAAAAATATTCACCTGATTTCCTCCCTTTTAGGCAGGAAGATAAACTGTTATATAATAGAAACGCTCTTGGAATTTCATTAAGATTACTCACATATTGATCGCTATATGCGATAAAAAGTCAACCGGTAGTTCCAAAATGTTTATGTTAGGCACCACCCATATTTGATACAAGGGCATACTGTTATTATAAAAGTATTCTTCGAATTTCAATACTTGAGCTCACAGATTTACCGACCCATATATTTGCTATCTGTGACCTTGACATGTGTTGGCTTACCCTAAAGGTACATTCATATAAAGTTTTATCCCGATATATGCATGGGAGGTCAAGGAATCAAATTAAACTTCAAATTTTGTTATATGAGTCCTATTTCGCCCACTTTCATGCCGAAATATGAAAGGTGCCACGTCCATTGTAAAATTTTGACAACGGCTCTTATGAAGCCCTTCCGTACCCCTCGAGTGCAAAATTTCTACTAATCTCTTGCCTGTTAAACTAGTAAGTTATCGCACCTTTAGTAGCTTTCAACATAAGAGTTACATGTGGAGTGGGCGAGGTTACCTTTCAATTTGAACAGTGCCAGAGAAATGCCGAAAAGATTTATCCTGAGCGAATTTGGTTAATACAGCTTCATTGGTTTGTGAGCTATGTAGGTACACCAAACATAAACTATTTAAAGTTTTCAAAATCAAACCACAGATATATCGATTTCGTACGTCTACAATACCTAATTTCTGTTGGTGTCAAGTGTCATGTGTACTTCATATAAATAACTAAATTGTTACTCAAGTTTTCGCTTGCACGGACAGACAGTCAGTCGGAATTCAACTCGCTTTAACATCCTGATCATTTATATATATATATATATATATATATAACTCAATATTTATCTTGATAAGTTTTAGGTGATATAAAGAACAGTTAGGTGAATCAAACTATTCCACTCTGTAGCAACATGTTGCGAGAGTATCAAATTAGATAAATAAAATAATATGTATAGTCTATAAAAATAATTAAATATTATGACTAAACAATTAATTTTATATGTTTATGAAAAATTTTTATTGTTTGAAAAAATAGTTATAAAACTATTAATTCCGAATTAAAATAATTGCTAAAAATTAATAAATAAAATTATCTAAGATTTTAAAATTTTATTATTTAAATTATTACCAAAAAAAAAATTTAGTTTTTAATACCACAAAAAATTTATAAAAGCATACAAAATGTTATTAAATTTCAATAACCCCAACTTACTTTGCACCGTCAGCAAATTCTCCTTCACATTCAATTCCAAATTGATGCGTCCCCGACGTTCGGTGTGATCGCAACCGCACAAGCTCGGAACATTCTCCTTACAGCGAGCATGCACATTCATGTCACATGCTGTTTGTTGTTCGCATAAAAGCCAAGTAGCGGTGGAAAAGTTAGAAAAAAGTTGTGCATATATTAAAAATGATGTTCAAATCAGTATTTGAGTGTTTAGCATAAATTGAATAAAAAGAAAAAAACTTTTGTAAATAACTTGTATCTGCTATAAAATTAACTCCATTTTGACTAAGCTGAGTACCAAGTGAAAGTGAAAGTGTATAAAAGTAATAAAAAATGCATAAAAAGGTAAACAAACACACTTACGCACACAAGTACACAATGTCTACAGTAATAAACCACCCGCACACATCTATATACACATATGTATACAGCGCTTGCGCGTTAAACACACACTTATAATTTAAATTAAAATTGGTCTTTATCAATATTTTTTGTACTTCATTTTGTGTAAATTTTCTTACCTGTGGGCTTAGCTTCAGTATTTCGAAATGATTGCTTTAAATAATAATAAGGCGTATGTATATTCATAAAACCAGTAATAAATTTTTATCGGCCATACAATTGTATGTTCATATAAAAAGAGACATTATTTCGGAGACCTCAAAACATCTTGACATAAACTAGCTCATTGTAAACTGCAATTGAAATCCATTAAAATTAAAAAGGATTTGTTGTTATGAAATTTGAAAAATAGTTAAGGTTTATCTTTAATAGAGAGCTAAGATAAAGGGTGTTTTTTAGAAATGTGGTTTTCAAGAGGAAATAAAACTTATATATGTAGTTTAATGAGATGGTCAAGAATTTAGCTTTATTATAGAGATAAGGGTTTTCCATATCTGCGTAGACAAGCGTCACATAACCCCAGAAAAAGTAGTCCACCGGTGTTAAATCGCACGACCACATTGGAGGCCATGCCATAGGCTCACGACGTGAGATAATTCTATACCAAAAGTTTCCTTCAATAAATTGATTGTTCCGTTAGCTGTATGGCTTGTAGCGCCGTCTTTTTGGAACAAAAGGTCGTTCGCATCAATATCCTCCAATTTATTAACGAAAATGTCAATGGTCATGACTCTCTAGCGTTACCCATTGCCTGTAACATTATGATCGGATTAATTTTTAAAGAAAAATGGACCAATGATTTTCTCTGCCGACAGAGCACACCATACAATGACTTTTTGAGCATGTAATGGGGTCTCAACAATGATTTGTGGATTACCATCATTCCAAATGCGACAATTTTGTTTATTAACGTACCCATTCAACCAACAGTGAACAGTGAGCTTCATCGGAGAACAAAACTGTCAAAAAGATAAACTCCGTAAAAAATATTGCCTCATTGGAAACCACAAGTTTAGAAAAACACCCTAAAATTCAACTTAAGTTGCCACTTTTTTGTATCAAAAAACACGATCTAGTTAAAATTTCTTTATTTAAACCAATGCTACATTAGTGTATGATATTCAAAAAATTTTTTTTTTTTAATTTTCACGAAGGAATTTAAAAAATACGGCAAAAAAGAAAAGTTAAAAAATATTAAAATAACTCTCCGTCGTTACCTGGTAAATTAGGTGCAAAAAGATCGGTGCAACAGTTTTGAAGTTGAGAGTGTGAACTTTTTTAATTTCACAATAGTTGTGACCCTTAAAAAGCTAATATTTAGCGGAAATGCTTTAAAAAATGTCTATATAAAGTAACTTAGACCCCTGAAATATGTAAACCACCCATCGTTCCAATCTTGGAATTAATTCTGAGGTCATTATAATTCACCTCAATTACTTTCCTCTAATAAATTCACTGATTGACAAAATTATCAAGCAATTTATAGCCAACAAGCTTTGCGCTGAGCGCGGAAATTGCAACGGAATGCAGCAAAACAAGCAAGCATATACAAGTATATATCCTGCGGCAATTAGCACACAATTTATGAACGTATACATTTGCAAATTTACGGTAAATCAATAGTAAATCATCTCGTTTAAATGCGCAACACGGGAATTCCATTTAATTTTCATAAACGACAAACGGAAATTATGATTCCAGGCAAGTTGGTTACAGAGGAAATGGTGATAGTAAAATCTATTTGCTTTCCAAATGTAGTTGTTGTTATTTTTTGTGGCATTTATTGTAATAACTATCTAGTATTTAGCTGGTGTTAGCATAATAGCACAGGGTGCTTTTTGTTAGTGTTGGGGCAGCAACGTGCGGCATGCAACAAGCTTTCACTTGCGATCAGTGTCAATGCAAACCAATTCTAACTCAACTTTACCTCAGTTGAATTCAATTCATTGCGATTTGATTAGTTGCCGTGCGATGAATGGGAATTTCATGCGGAAATTGAAAGCTAAATGAATGCACGCGATTTATTTACGAAGTCGACAGACTCTTTGGTGAAGAACATGTGTGTGAGTGTATGTGCGTGTAAAATGCTTTCAACAGGTCGCAAATACGAAGAACTATTTTACTTTTCTATTTCTGCTTGAAAGTTTTGCATTATAGTCGCTTAGTTGCATTGTTATGGTGGTTGGAAACAAATGTGGAAAATAATGAAAGGTGCCCCGAGCTTTTTGCTGGAATTATTAGAGCATGTCTAATGTGCATTCAACTCACTTACTATTAAAAAAAATATGCCTTGTTATTATTATAAGAGTAAAACTATGCTCTGTTTCAGCGAACACAGAGGGAGTAAAATGGAAAAAAAATCTGTAAGCGCAACAAAACCATTTCGAGGTATATAAGTAAGTGGCGCAGTAAAGGCGGAACATCATAAATAGTTGTTAAATAGCGTGCACATAATGGACAACGTGGAGGAGCTGCGTAAAATCCATCAAACGAATAGCTTTTCACGTGACTAAGCTTGTGACTTGCAAATGCAGAGTGAAATTCAAAATATCCATACAAGATATGGAAATTTTTTATATGCTATATGCAGTGGTTGGGAATGAAGATATTGCTTTAAATGAAGAGAGTAAAAACTGCGAAGCATCAACTATATTCTGCAGGATTTTAAAGCTTTTTTTAAATAAGGTATCTTTTTACAGAATAAATTTGTGGATTAGCTCTTCGACGAGATGTGTTATGGAAATAATTATGTCATTTTTTAAATAATATTTACCAATAAGTTAAATGGTATCTATGCCGGATTTGTATGATGTACAAAGTACTGTAAATGTATACCAGTTACAAATAACATATAACATTATGCATTTTAGTATTTTCTGTGCACCTAAAGTGTTTCAACGATTTGGTATAAGAGTCGTAAAATTTTTCTGTACCAGTTTCAACCATTCACTGAAAATACGTCTTAAGTTTTTTTCTAAATTAGATTATTTTCAGAATACATATTTGGAGGTGTTTGACAAAATGTGTTATTGAATAAGTTATACCAGTTTTTTAATAATACGTAACAATATGTTTAATGGCATTTATGCGGAATTTGTACTTTCTATAAGGTGTTTCAGTGTTTCAATTTGGTATAATAGTCATGCAATTTTTCTATACCACTTTATACCATCCGTTGAAAGTACGTCTTAATCATCGCCTTAATTAAATTTGAATCAAAGTTTTTGTTATTAATTTATTTACAAGGCATACACTAGTTTTAAATTATGATTAAATTTTTAAATTATCTGGGTCCAAATTCATATTTTAGTATATTTCATGTATTTTGTAGACTCAAATTAAGCGGTCCATGAAAAAAGAGCTTATTGACTTTCTCAGTTATTAAAGAAATGTTTTTCTTACCTTAAAAAATGTTTATCTCCTCTTATATTGTACCTAGCATTATCTTGTATTAAAATATTTAAATTTTCAGAATGGATTTCTAATATTTTTTTTCAGTTCGAAAAACTGTAAATTGCCATAATTTGATACAACAAGTCGCTTTAAGAAGTGGGTGTGTTCTCACCTCCCAATAAATTTGATGTATATATCTCAAAAACCATGCTAAGTTAACTAAATTTGTTGGGACCAAATATGTCAAAATAGGTGAAATCGGATGATAATAGTACGTTAATAGCTCAGAAGCATTAAATTTCACACCCAAGATGGTTTAGAAATTGGTCAATTAGCGTGGCACCGCCCACCTTTTGCTCAAATCGATCTATCTCAGAAACGACTTGACCATAATCAACCAAACTAACGTTTATTTCCTATATATAAAAGCTTTAAATTCCATCTGAATCTTTCACTTTTCAATAAAAATATATACAAAACCAATGAGGTTATCGAAATAAACCAAACCAGCTTTGATCCAAGTAAATTGTGAGAGTAAAAAAATGTCCTTTAGCCCTTCTCTATTTGTTTCAATTCATTTTATACACCCAGAAACATTAGGCGGAGCATTGGTGACATTTGTCACTGCCCAACAATCTTAAGAACTAAACAATTTTAAGAATGCCTAAAGTGGCACAAATGCCAAGCAAGTCTGGCGGCACACAAGTAGAATTCATTACGTTGGCTAACTGGCGTGTAGTCACGCTGACAACCACAATGCCTGACCTGCCTTTTGTGCTTTCCTAGTACTAGTATTTCTTTTGCCATTAGGATTCACTATACAGAAGTAGGTGGGTGTCCACCACGATGCTTACCAAGCGGATGATGATGAACTATTTTCAGTTGGCGAGCATACTTCGCTCCGTTGTATGAAATTTTGGTTTTGGTGACGAACTAGTTGACATGGTGATGTCGTTGGTGGTTAGTTAACGGGTTTATTTGTCAGCACAACCTTCTAATTTGCAGCTTTGTTTGTACAACAAGCTAGAAGTTGGGCTAGGTTTGTTGGTTGCGCTGGTTAGTAAGTTGCCTCAAGCGGATGGTTTAATGGCTATGTGTTCACTTTACACCAAGTGATGAGCCTTTGTTTGCTTAGTTGTTGCTTTTAGCTGGCACATTATTGTTGGGACTACGTAATTCGGACTAGTATATATGTGTAAGTGTAACTGTTGCTTTTTCTCGTACATTTTAACTGTTACATATTCTCACCACACCCTGCCGTTTGCTGGCAAAATTAATTTCGTACATGGCTTAACAATTTCTCTTATATGACCCATATG